AACATGTTTTACCCCGTACCCAAAATATTTGTTGAACATTTTAAATACAGTATTGTTTTTTCAATACGTCAGTTGCCACACGTTAGTTTTTTATCGAAACGTTTTCCAATTGAAATACTATCACTAAAGAGATGATCAATGGCGGATTAACCTTCTCGGCGCCCTGTGGCACGCTCAGTGTTTACCGCTCCCTTTTTTAGATACTGTAACAACCCAAAAATCGGTTATCGGGTATGGCCGTCCCGAGAGTGAGAAATGGTTCAAAGGTATTATGGTTGAATAATCATTACCCTATACTTTAATTAAAATATTGTATACATATATTTAACCAAAATTAGATTTTTAAGAATCTACGTATTCGTAGGTATCTATTTAATACCTATAAATTGAGCTTAAAGCGATACTTTTACTTCTCTTAATTATTTACTTCTAAGGCATACCCCCTTGGAAATTCCCCCTCCCCTGGGATAGAAGGTCTGAAATAAACACTGGATGCAGGGAAGTATAAAGACTTACTTCTAAGGGAGAGGGGGGGGCGAATGAAAATTTTTTCTTTAATTCAGGCTCAAAATTGAAATAAAATGTTTGGTAATATTTAAATCGGGTGAATCCTTAATATTTGTGGCTTTTTTTTTTTGTAATATAATGCCGGATCCACTAAGAATCGACTTTTGTGAAGTTCTTTTTAACACCTGTGTTTAGAAAGTTACGCTGGTGTTTTATTTGATTTTTCACTAAGTATGGACCCGACAAAAAGCCCAATTCAGTATTCATAGCTACGCGTAATTTTTTTCGTTATAAAATGATCCACATTAAAAAAATGTAAAATGTGTGTCTCACATATAATCAATTCCTTAAATACGAATTCAGGGGGGGGTGATCGCTTCTTCGCCCCCCCCTCCCTCCCTAAAATACGCCCATGAATTGATAACTACTAGATTTTATATACACGTTATGTGTTATTTTCGTGATATGTATATTTTTCATTCTATTATTCTAATAATTTCAAAACTGGACAATATTTTTTTTTGTCCTGGGGAGGGGATTATCTCCCCCCCTTCATTTTTACGCCACTGCCTACGTAAAAATATGCAGTTAACTATATTATATACATTATTATTTTTATAATATATATTTTATTTTAATAAGTACAAGTACTTATACGTACCTAATAAGTACAATACAATATAGGTTGATTTCAATAATATCATAATATATACTTACGAGTAATTTAATAGACGTCCAAGAAATAAAATTGTACTTGTAGTTGTTCGAACAACGCTGCAGAGAAACAGTCAGTCTTTAGAAGGTATACAAAACTACAAAAGGCGAGGGCGACCAACGTGTTCAGATGTTCACAGCAAATTAAATTGAAAAATAATATGATGGGTACTTATGTGTTTACATACATAATCAATTATAGTCATAATAATAAACCCAAATAATGTAATTACGATTACGACCGTCACTGTGTCAATTAGTATTTACGTATATTGTATAATATGGGTTGAAAATTTAACAATTTAAAACATAAAAAATTTGCCACCCCCTAAAAATTACCGCCCTAGGCTCGAGCCTCACGAGCCTAGTGAATAATCCGTTACTGAAGGTGATGCTATCACGATGATCGTTTTGTTTTGATCGGCAGGGCTTTGAACTACCCGCCGAGCCAAGAGATCTTCAGGAAACTGTACATCACCACGCACACGAGACTGACGCCGTATTTCGTGGGAATGTACGCGGCCCACGTTTACCGAGGCATACGAGCCAGCGAGCCGAACTACAAGTTTTCACATCCGACGCTGCGTTTGTGGGCGATTTTCTGGAGCTACATAGCGTGGATGACGTCCGTCGTCTACTTCTACGAGTACGATTACAACCTCTGGGTCAGCGTGGTTTACGCGTTCGCGTTCCGTCTGGTGTTTGCCGTGCTCGTTTCGGCATTCATCATCGTTTCCACCGTGAACTCTTGTTTCCAAGGTAGGCAACCGTCACGATGTAGCTGGCACGTATGTACAACGTTCAACGGCCATGTTGGAACTCTCCTCGCATAGGTGAAGGGGGAGGGGAAAACTTTCAGCCAACATTCACCTGTAATCAATCGCACCACCGATGGACGGTTAGATGCATAGGCGGATATCGTGGGGGGGTTTACCTAACCTAACCACACCAGACATTAAATAAATCGTGTATTTTAATCCTTGATATTTATAATTTTTATTTGATTTTTTTTGGTATACGAGAATGATCTGGAATATTTACGGACTATCGTTATTGGGGAAAACCATATTTTGTAGGAAATAAAGGAATAGATTTATACAATTAAAATAAAAATTAAAAATGAGTTGCTATTCAATATTATTATGTTCCTATTACCTGTATATAATTGGTGCCTCGATTAAAGTAGGAGTAGCCACTAGTTAGTAGGTTGAAGCGTCTAAAAATGTCTGTTTACGCTAATGGATAAGACAAAAATGTTAAGCCCCCCTCCCCACTGATGTGACCAAATATCCGCCTATGGTTAGACAGGATGTTACGGGTCCCTTGAAAAAAAAAATTATAACAATTTGAAGTATCCAAACTCGGCTAGAAACGTTAAGTGGTTTTACGACACATAATGCTGTGATCCATTGTCCAATGCTCTTTTTTTTTGTTGTTATTAAGGGAGGTACAGAATCATGCAAAACCCCAATCAAATCTCTGCTCGGAGATGACCGCGGTCGCTTATAAAAAATATTATTTTGGAATAATTTTTCTATAACTTTCAAAATCTTCGTAACACGCCGAACCAAAAGTTTTAACAATCAGACACCATTCAAGCTCTTTCGGCGTTTAGACACATTATAATACAGTTTATAAATTTAATTTCATAAGTCAGACGAAAAATGCTCTAAGTGAAACAGCAAATCATTCTTCGTTTAACGTTATAAATGTGTATTTCGATAGGTACAAAATGTTTACATATTTTAACGGTGTAATATGAATGAATATTGCATCAATATGAATTAATATATTACATGATCCTCTCAAAAATAAATAAATATTTTACAGGAACTTGGAAACTTATATTTGCACCGATTAGCAGGCTCGCATATTCGGCGTACATAGGAGGACTCACCATGCAATTATATTATACAGCATCAACACGCACACCATTGTATTTCAATCTAATACGACTCGTAAGTAAATTATATAAAAGAGACCAGGAACTTTTTATGAGAAGAGGGGACGGGGATTTCAGCAAATTTAAACTTATTTACTAATGAGCAAACGTTATTTACTTTATAATACAGTAAATTTTTATAATTATTTACATAATTTACGTAATCAGTTTTTGAAGAATAAACAAAAATAAATACAATTTTATAATAATTAATTGCTATATTATAAATTATAATACTTCAATACCTATAAATTTGTATACACCATACCATACTGTATCCAAACCAATTATATGTATTTTTTTATAGAGTACTATTTTATTTTTTTAGACATGGATTACAATAGGTGATATAACGAATGGATTTTTTATTGCATTTTTCTTGTACATGTTGATCGAGAGTCCGTTTGAAAATCTGCTTAAACTATTGATTGGTAAAATGAAAGAAGGTAATCACTTTAAAGTTATTATTTAAAAATAAGAAAAATTTGAAAAACGTAATCAAATTCAATCTAAATGATTATTATATTATGGTTATATGTTGTAATTTTAAATTCAGAAACACTATAATTTTTATTTTTTAGAAATTAGAAATTATTTTCAAAACTTCAACATTTAACTATTTAAATTAATTTACTATACTAATTAATACTATAATTATAAAATTATTTAAAAATTACTACGATTTTGAATTGTACTCATAGAAAAATGTAATTTTTCATTAAATGTTATTAATTAAAATATAGGCTTATCATTCATAAAGATTGGTTAGTGTATTTTTTAATTAAACCACTTAATTGTATAATGCGAACCCTAGTAACTAATACTCAATATTTTTAAATTTCAGTTACATTAAAAATTATAAAATTTTAAGTATGAATGATTTTTTATCTGTTTCATTTTAGAAATACACAAAGCTGAAGAACGAACACCCAACGATGTAGAAATGACACCAAGGAATATAGAAGAATAATGATAGTAAATAGAAATACAAGTATATTTACAAGATGTAAAAAAATCGAATAAGCCAGCAAAATGATTATGGGAGTAAATATATGTATGCATACGTATTATCAGTAACAGTTGGACGATAAATATGAAATTGTCCTATTTATTAATATTTTTACTACCTTTGACAATCATTACTAGGCAACACATGAGACAGCCCAGATGTATTATAATTCAAATTAGAAACCAGTGTATGAAAATGATGCATGGCCAGATAAAATAATATTATCGACTACCACCCATTTGTACAAGCTATCATATTTTTTACTTAGTAAACATAATGAGCTGAAAAGTTGAATTCTTTATGTAATTCAAAGTTTCCTCGAAGTATATGCACCCGGCAGTGTTAATCAGGAATATATAATTACATGTATAGAATTATATGCGAAAGATAGAGAACATCCATTTTTTTTTGTCTTGAAAAATCGATTATATTATTATTACGAAATTGATCTCATTCACTTTATTATGTGAAGTATATATTATTATATTTAAATACTTAAAATAGAGTTATGTATAATGAAATTGATATAATCATAAGAGAACTGACTATTATTTATTTAATACATAATACCATATCTATGATGATTTTTGTTTTTCTTTGTATTTTTGTTATGTATTGTTACACTACACCAGTGCTCCCTAAACTTTTTCAACTCACGGCGCCCTTTTTGATCTAAGTTTTTTTCAGGTCGCCTTTCCCCAAGTTATAACATAACTAATCTTAAGGACAATTTCAGACTAAATAGTATTTCATGACGGTGTGGCACCCCTGTATGGACATCGCGGCGCATCAAGGCAACGCGGCACACACTTTGAGAACACCTACACTATACGGTTAAGTATCTAGTTATTTTGAAGTGAAGGATGAAATTTTTAGGTACTATAAATACATTATTTTTTTTTTTGGAATAAAAATTATTAAAAACATAATGGCTTAACATGGACAAGTAAAAAATGCTTAAAAATTGGTGAATCCGAAGCTGAAAACAAACGTAATATTTTAAAATAAGAAATGCAGATTGTATAGCATATGTTTTAACCGAAATAAATAAACCTTTTTAATTTGTACTAATCTCCTATTTGAGTATTCTAGTACTATCCCTTGATCCTACCTAAAACCCCAGTGTAATACAAAAAATTCTGACTGGAATATTACCTTAAAACAGGCATAATTCACAAATAATATTTATAAATAATTAACTGACCCGACAAACGTTGTTTTGTCATATAAATTATTTCTAGAGAATATTTTGCTAAAAAAAAAATAACTTATTTAATATAGGCATGTAAGGATGTTGGTAAGGATAAGGATGTAAGGAAGAGGTACGGAGTGCTATGAACGGTTACGACATTATTATACTAACATTTATTTTTTTAATAATTTATTAAAATTGATCCTTTAAAATTATATATATCGCCAATTATGTCAATATTAGTAAAAAAAACAATATCAATTCCTTAATACAATAGGGTGTATAATATTTTTTGGTATCCCATCTTTCTCCAACACAAACAAACTGGATGGTTCGAGAGTACGCCACGTATAATAATCCGTGTGAAAAACATGATCATGCTCAAATTTAAGCCACAGACAGACATCGTTTGGCTTTGAGACTTACTGATAGTCATTGCAAATGCCAATCTAATTGGAAATTGAAGGCGTTTAAATTGTATTGGCACATCTGTGGGTATAATAGGGATTTGAGGTAAAAATATATTTTCACTTGGTGAAAACGGCATCGCGTGCCGTTGCACAACCGTGGTAGGTTGAAATTACGAAGCAAAATAACCGGAGATCCAATCTTCAGTGGTAAATTATGCGGTGGCATGCCTGGTAAGTCCAATGTGTTTAAAAACTATTGGATAATTTACAGCTTCAGTAGCATCGCAAACTGTATCAATAGATTTGTATGACATCACCTCTCCTGGAAACAAATGTTGTGTTCTGAGATTCAATTCGTTGACGTCCACATTTTTTGCTGCTATAATTGCTCTTTCTGCCAGCCACTCATGATTTGTGTATTTTCTGTGTACATTGGGAAATATCTGGTTAATGAGAGCATATTGCGATCAATGATCGTGCAGAAATCGGTCGGTAATTGTATGCATCCTGTTTCATCTGTAGTAACTTTCACATCACCGGTATCTAACAATTTTTTTGAGAATCTTCGGCACGCAGCTTTTTTTATTGAATCACAAGTATCGTAATCATTTGCTCTCTATCTTTACATACATTTCGACCATGAATTTTTGACAAAGCTCATGACATCGTAGAATAACTTTGTCTTGATCGCGTCTAATCATCAACCGATATGCATAATAATTCTTCGAACTAACATTCTTATTTGTTTTGGCACCTGTTGCGGAATCTTTTTGTTTAATATTTATGCAATACCCGTCATTTAATACCAAAAATAAAATAAATAGTTTTTAAGTTTTTTTAATAGTTTTATTTAATAATTCATTTTCAATTGTGTAGTTATCGATCGGGTCATAAATTATTAAATTAAACTATGATTTATTAAAAAATAGTACTTTTCCAAAATTTTTTTTCGTACAAACCTTCTCCTAACAATTACGAACAATTAAAAAAAATTTGAGCCAATCGGCCCAGCCGTTCTCAATTGATGAAATGTTATACATTTTTGGTTCCATTTTTATAAATATATAAATTAAATTTATTTTCTAAAAGTTTAAAATACATTTAATTTATTTTGTACACTTATCTCCATTATCAATTTGCTATAAGTATTGTTGATTGTAATAGTTTAATATGGAAATATTTTGTTTTACTGGATCATCGAATTTAAAAACAGTTACTTCGCACGGATTAACTTCGACCGTTACTATTAACTAATTAATTAGTAACTTCATTAAGTTACCGCGTGTGCATTTAAATGACTGGAAGCCTTAGATATTATATTATATATATACCTATAACTTATTCATTAAATTGTTACCAAACTTAGAAGTCATCAGTTCACTGTTACACTGTGTGGACGATATTCGCAAATCGTTTTTCTATTGTTTACTTAAAATTTAAACAATGTTCACGTTTTTATTTATTTAAAATATCTTAACTTATAAACTGTATTATTTGCTTTATCCGCTTTGCGGAATTAGATGTTCAATTAAAATGTAAAAGTTTTTAAAATAATGAAATCAAAAATAGTAATTTTATTAGTTATGCATCTTGATTACAGCTGCATTCGAATACCTTTAGAAAAAAATATCGGTACAGATTATATTTTTGCCATATTAAATTATAATTATAGTAGATTAGTTGAAAATATTTTTCTCTAAATTTATTTATTTTTTCTATTTATATACTAGATTAGTACAAGGTTATTTTTTATTTGTATATTTTTACTTATTATATAAAGAGACAGTGTTTGTTTGTTTGTTTGCCTGCAAAAATCTACGGCACATAAGTACTTAATATACTTATGAGTATATTATTCTTGTAAATATTTTTTCATTTTTTTAAATAAAAAATATGTTTTTTTCACTTACCTACTAACATTTATTATACTAAAATTTATATTTCTATAAAATTACTTTGCGTTTAAGTATATACATTATCAAGTAATATAATTTTACATATTTTTCACTTAAAATTCATATTTAATTGAGTTTTTGTTGGTTTGATAAATCATAACATAATGATACTAATTTGTTTTTTTCTCAAATGGATTGGTCCATTTACTCAAGTCTAAAATAAAATATAAAAATTTTGATTGGATAAACAAATAATCAATAAAATATAACTTACTTCCACCACTTTCTGGTTGAATTCTAGACTGATCTAATTGTGCACGGTTTTCCTGCTGTGATTTTTCTAAAAATATTTTAATATAAGCAATACATATTATATTTATGTATATTAATAATTTCTAAAAACAAAAATGTAATTACACAATTAATATTATTAATAATTTAATAATATATATAATTAATGATTAAATATATAATTCAATAGTATTAATTAGTTTAATCCTACATTATGAAGTTACAAATAAGTATGGTAATTTTATGGATAAGTAGTTAAAAATGTGGATAGCATTTAAATGAAAATTTATTTGATAGTTGTTAATATTAAAAAAAAGTTTTTTTTCTCTCTTTTAGCTGTAAAGCAATTATTATTTATAAGAAAATGAAATTATGTATTAAGACAATTTGTTTTTAATTTTAAAAATTAATATGTAGATACTATAAGTTTTCAAAGTTGTTATTAAAATTGGAAGTAATGTATGTTGATTATAAATATAAGGAGAAGTGATAAAATAATATAAAATCCAGTAAGATATAATTAAAGATAAAAACCTATCAACACTTTAATGTATCTACACGAATAATTGTTTTATTTATGGTTATGGGTAATTTTGAATATATTATCCACATAACCTTTGTTAAAATTGTAATAATTGAATGTATTAGATATGCATAGTTTTATCAATGTATTTGAGATATATGGTGTAATTATTAAGCAAAATAAATTATTTAATTATCACTATTTAAAAATCTTGAAAATTCCTCAAATGTTTTGTGAAACCTGGAATTACAAAATTCACTTTTATCAGATTAAACATTTAATAGTAGTTCACAAAGTATCAACATATTTGTATGGTTTAAATTGTACATATATTTTATTATTTACTTATAAATTTGTATTATATTGGAATATTTATATTTTATTATAAATAACAAACCGTATAAAATATCTCATGGAATAATGATTGATGATTAATCTTAGTTTATTTCTATAGCATTTTTGGAAATGCACTCAAAAAATAATTTGGTTTTTAAATTTGTAGTACTCAGTAATATGAACAAGAAGTCCTGAGGAGTTCTTAACAAGTTTGTAAATAGACAACCAAATACTTCAGTAAACCGACTTGTAATAAATTATTCTAAATCTGTGAACAGGTGAAACATGGGTCTTACCATTCCAAAGTAAACATAGAACTGATAAATATTGGCATTGATTAAATTTCTTCTCTAAAAGTAGATACAAACAAAGTAACATTTTGCTAGCAACATATTGCTAATGGTATAGCCAACAAATATCTCAATAACCAGAAACAAGTTGTTGGATACTTATCTACATAGGGTAGGATAATATCAAAAAAATTTGTTATGTGTTGCTTGTAATCATGTTTTCCACTCTAAATGGAAAACATCGTTCAGTGTGGAAGGTGTTGTCAACAATATCACAAATTAAAAACGGCCTGAACATATTGTCTGTATAGACGGTTATACATATTGGTATTATTTATTTTATTTTATTTACTTTTTCATAATGTTGTAGTTAAAAGACCTCATAATATAACTTATAACCAAAAGAGTAGCGTACTTCAAAATAAATGTGGATGAAATATCGAGGAAAATGAAGACCTTAAAAAACACAATTTAGTCAGAACGGAAGAAAATTGGAAAGAAAAATATAACTAACTGATGTGGGTTGTGGATATGCAACTATTGGTTTGAACTTACATTGCACCTTACAGTTGATAACATGTATCCAGATACAAGTATCTCCATCCCATGAATTTTTTGCCAAAATCTGGCAACATGTTTTCCTGTCTGTACATACATTTAAACTAGTGTAAAAATATTTTTACGTCATACTAAATAACAGAACATTTGACTTCGTCCTTAATTTGACAAAATGCCTCAATCAAAGACTACATAAATCTAACATGCTACTAAAAATAAATTCATTTAGTATATATATATATATAAATTCATTCTCCAATAAAAGGTATCTTCTACTTAAAAACGATAGAATTAATGCTAGTTAAATAATTAAGTATTTCTTTTACAATAACACAGCAAAAAAATTAACTATAAAATATAATTTTGTACACTTTTAATAATGTTAATGTAGCATCATACAAAGGTTAAAATAATAACTATAAGCAAACTTACTGTAATCGTCAACATGTGTCATTGGATATATAATAATAGGGTAAGTAGCTAATCCTATACTTCCGACGAAAGCTGATATAAATGCCACATACTTCCATCCTTTCAAATAAGCCATCAAACTTGAGATATCTCAAAATGCAATGTTAAAATGTACTCATAAATTATTTAAATTCTTAAAAAAATAAAAATAAATTAAAAATGTTTGGTTATCATAAAATGCACCAGGATTTTAAATGATAATTTGATATCTTTGTTATCAAATTCATAATTTTAACATCTGGATTTATTATTATTATTCATATATTATATTCTGTGGTAACACTATATCATATTTTCCTGAGGCAGCAGATAATCCTGTGACTAACCCATTATTCTCTTATGAAATAAATTTGTTCAATGTAATAATGGATACAATTACTAACAGTTTTGAAAAAAGGTATGCAATACATGGAATATTATGTGCAGACTTTTCATGTCTTGATCATTCAGAAAATGTACAGTCAACTGTATTAAAACGAGTATTTGAATCAATTTCACCGTTTTAGTCTACATTAACATTAAATGATCTTCAAGTTAAGTTAAAAGATTTTCGTTCTAAATGGTAAAATTTAACAAAAGTATTCAAACACATTATTCTGAGTTAAAAAAGACGATTTTGATAACAGTGATGAAAATCAATATGAAAAATATGAATTAAGTAGTAACAGACATGATGAAGGCAGTTGTATTAATTGTTGCTAGAACTTCATAGTTCATTATAATTTGTTTTTCGAAGTGTATTCTAGACTATTTTTATGTTACAAATCAATTTTAACTCTGTCAGTTACGCAAGTATCTTGCAAACGTTCATTCTCAAAATGAAAAATATTAAAAAATGCTTTAAAGAATTCATTAACACTAGAGTATTTAGAATTTTACATGCTTATACCCTTAGAAAAGATATTTTATCAAATCTTGATAATGAGGATTTTCTTAATATTATTCCAACAAAAAGTATTTCGCTATAAAAAATTTTACTTTTTGAATTTTTAAAAATTATATTAGATTTTAATTTTAATAATTTTCCTTCTTTTTAAATAAATAAAAAACAATATTAAATAATATTGATTAATATTTATATATTATTTTCTAGGTATATAATTATTTATGTAAATACATTTGATAATATGCTACTTTTTAATGTCAAGCTTAGTGTGTCATAATTTTTTCAAAATGCTATTTTTTAAGTTGTACTCTGTATGAAATACCTATAACATGTAGAATCAAAATAAATTTAAAGTTTTCAAAAACTTAGTTATTACATTATTAATTTGAATTATTTTATATTATTAATTTTTCATCTATATCTAATATCTATGTATTTGGGTATTTAGTGTTTTTAGGTTTCATTAGAAAAAAAGTTTTGGTATCCCTGACTGTTGCCGTATACTACACAGTAGACAATTTGTAAAATAATTAATGATGCTGCCTCATTAATGTTTTCTTGTTAAATTTTTTTTCCTCTGGTCATACGACTATTATCTTTAGACAAGGCAAGAATTGTTTTCTTGCATGGCACCAGCCATTAATATACGTGAATCTATTAGTTATAAAAATAAAACTTATCCACATATAGTCATATTGTACCATATCCAATTTTATTTTTATGTTTACAATCTACAACTTACTAAAATTAATAACCTTAACTTGAAGTACCAATTGACAAAACAATGACTGAAGTTAACACCATAAATATTAATAATTATTAAAATTTAACATGATAGGTGTGTACTTATTTAAATTTGTGGTTACAACCTACATACATGAAATATTTAAGTGTGTAATTAATTAAAAAATGTTTATATTAAAAATTCTATGGTAACAATAATACTATTAAGTTTATAGAGGAAAATCAAATATCTTTAATTTTCTGATTTTAAATCCAGAAAGTTGTTTTTGATTTTAAAAATGTTTGTTCAAATCTTATATCAGATTGTTCAGTTATTTGAAATTAAAATAATGATTATTTACACATTTATTTTCAGATTTTAGATAGTTTATATGAAATACATATGAATAAATATGGCAATTATATTATTTCAAGATTATTAAAATTTATTTTATACAAATTGCATTACATAGTATTCAACAATGACGAAAATAGTTAAATATAGATAACATTGCAAAACTACAAAGTTACAATATAATTAAATAAATACAATAATAGCTAATAAAAATAGTAACTTTTCAATTAATTACATTTTTTTTTAATAGTGTAGTAGTCAGTCATAAGGTAATTTAAATATTATTTTTTCCATTTTAAAGTTCTATAAGCTTTAAAATCTGTTATTTTATCCCCTAAATTATCATAATTAAATGATATATAACAAGAATCACACATATGATTTACTGTTACAGGAGTTCTAACATCATGAGACACCATAACAAACTTAGCTATATTTTTATTACAAAATATACAGTTTTTTAATTTTTCTTTTGCCATACTTATTATTCTTGGATAATTATTCTGGCCTAGACAATCAGAACTTTGAGCAAAACTGATTTCATTAAAAATAAATAAATGTTCACAGCGTCCCAAATGTTGATAAATATAGGGTTGACCAATGCATACCTCCAGGTCTAAAAGTTTTGTATCAATTGACAATATATCTCTAATAGGATAACCATTTTCTTCAGCCCATTTTTTCATATTTTCAGAATGCATTATTGTTTTATTATCCGGTAAAGTGTCCACGTAAATTGTATTGTTTATATAGAATAAAGAATGTTTCAAGTCCGATTTAGCTATAAATTCTGAAAAATTATGACATACATTTAATATGCAAGTTTTTTTAGTTTAACAATTTATTATAAATATTACAATAAACATAAGATAATATATTAAAGGCTTTTCAAACAATGTTTTCAATTCTATATCAACATAATTTATAAAATAAAATTTAAATGTACAAAACAATTTTAAATTATTTCTGGTTGATTATATTAAACTTCTTAAAAAAAAATAAATATCTAATAAAATAATAAAAATTAATGAAATTCACAGAATAATAAAATATTATCTGTTATTGTCATAAATTTATGCAATATTTAACTTAAGTTAATTTAAATTGATTACTCATTTAAATACTGGCAATTATAAATAGCTATGGATAAAAAGTGATTACTGAATGAAGTTTATTTTTTAGTATGAGTTTTTATAGTAAAAATATACATTTATTAATAATTAAATAGACCGTTATCGCTTTTTTACTTGTGTATATTATGTAAATTAATATTCTAAACTTCATAATAAAAAAATATGCGATTCATTACTTTTTCATTTGATTTATTATAAACATATAAAATTTATTTATGAAATGTATTATTTATTATTATTATTATTGAAATGTATTTATTTATATAATTAATCTATGGAAAAAATAAATTATTAAGAAATAAAATATAAATATTCTAAATAAATAATAAATGTATAAATTTTAAATTACCTAATGGTTTGTAAGGATTTGTACTTATATCTCCACTGATTTCACTCTCTGAGTTATCACATTTGAACCCATTTTTCAAATCCTGAAGAGTCTGAGTATCATAAAATTGAATTACTTCTTTACAATGTGGAATAACAGCTTCATCTGGATCTTGATTTTTCATCCAATGAAATGGATAGTAAAATGAAACTGTAATTAATAATGTTTGGCCAGGCGTTATATTCCCTCTTGGAGTAAAATTAGGAAGTGGAGTGTACAATTTCGTTCTCTTTTTCTGGTATAAATCATTTTTTACTCTTTTTAGTGTATGAAGATCACCTTCAATAGAATTATATATAGGAAGAAGACAACGAGCACTTAGTGCATTAGGTGATTCAAAAATATGTTGATAATTATGTTTCTGCAATTCAATTTCACATTCTTTCATATCTTCTATTAATTTTGATGTATCAACATTTGGATTGATTGATTTTAATTTTTCTAATACACAGCGTTCATTAGCTTTAGATGCTTTAACATCATATATATTAAGAAAAGCATTATCTATCTTAAACTTTCTAATATTTATAGTTTTTGAGAAGTAACCACCAACAAATTCAGTGCTGAATTCCATTATTGTAAATATTTACTATGCAACTTTCTGTAACATAAAAATTTAAACATACATTGTATCAAAATAAAAAAATAAAATGTCTACATTTTAATAGTTTTAAATATTGCAACAATATAATTTCAACTATAGGCAGTTATATTGCATTTTAAGTTAAGCAAATACTTAATTACCACATTAACTGCAACAGTTACTTTGCTATATACTTTTAACACTAACTGGCAACTCCACATTACTTAATCTTTTAAACGATTATTTTATATGATGACATATTTTATAAATACTTGAGAATCTCATCGGCAAAAGTACATATCCAGGTACCGAGAAAAATAAAACAGAAAAAAACAATAATGATAAAAATATTAAAATTCAAAAAACTATTACAACGATGGTATCTCACAGATTAATTGGTTTTGATAAGGTTATCATTTTTGTTAACTCCAAACTACTACCAAGTTTGAAGTCAGACTGAGCTAGACTGTTTTATTGTTTCATTTTATACTACTTTTAAAACTTTAAAACAAAATTCTGTTATATTATTCTGTAAAAAAAAATTTTTGTACTCGTTATTTCAATTTTTTTTATTTTATATTTCTTATTAAATTATTAAAAAATAAAAACACTTGTTTATACATTTTATTAAGATAACTTATTTACTGCTTTTGTGTATATTATTTGTTATTAACAGATGAATAATGTGTATGTAATGTAATATGTATATGCGCTCAATTGGCATAGTTTTAAAATTATTAACTTCACTAATTACAAAATACTATATTTATTCTTTATTTATAAAAATATAATATTCTATTATCTACAAGTACCTAATAGAAAATCTATTATATGCGTATACGAGTACTTACTGTATACCTATATATTCAGTGCTCGAATTGGGAAAAATTAAGTAGAGGAGCTCAGTCCAACGATTTAAAAACTGCGTTTTTAACAACTAGGATGAACGTGGCGTCCCCCCGTTCCGGTGAAAAAATATAGTTGGGGTAGGTACGCACAAAAAAAAAAAAAATAGTAGAGGAGCTCCGTCCCCTTGCGCACCCCCCACCCCCCATTCAAGCACTGTATATATTATATAATAAATTACCTATATGTGAATATGTCAATCTTTTAACATTACAATTTAATTATCCCACTTAACAATATACATACTATTATGTATTAATCATTACCTATTGGGTATTTATTTTGCTGTATTGGATAATTTATGTATATATATTTATGTATTAATGTATTATATTCTGCAGGTTGATATTATGAGAATACATTTGATGAAATCAAACACACATGTGTTGAAACATTATAAACCTAAGCTGGCTGAAATTATTAAATTTTAACAACCTTTCAAAAATGTTATTTACTTATACAATATAACATGGTGCTCTTCGTTGTGTTTGTACTCAATTTTGATTAGAAAAGATTAGAACACCCATGTGTGGATACAAGGGGGGGCTATGGGAGCTAAAGCCCCCCCTTAGACATTAGGTAAAGCCATATCGGACGTAAGCACTTAAAATATTTAAAAAATTGGACATAAGAAAGACTTCGTACTAAACGATATGCGCAACGAATTATGGCAGTAATTTGCTTTACTGACTCCTCCTTTTTTCATTTCTAGATCCGCACTTGAGTGCACCTATTGAAATATGCGATTAAAAAAAAAAAATTGGCTTAGGGCCACTAGTTTGTAAGTGGGTCGGTAACGTATAGAAAACTGGGTGGTCGAATTTGTCCAATCCGGCCCTGTTTCTTAGTGTATTGAATGTACAGCCCTTATAATAAAACAAATTTTTGAATCGTTCTGATTATTTAAAAATGGCTAATTTACTGACCAAAACGTTAACATTTGATTATTATGTAAAGTTAAAAAAAGGGAGTTTTTTATAGTTCATTGACAGTTTAACGTAACCATTATTTATTTGACTGTCTTACATCGAAGTAGTGTAAAGATTAGTTTGATAATTAGGTCGTCATGTAATCGGAATTCACAATACACTGACAGTTTCAGAGAGGAGATGGAAAATACAAACTTCGGAATAATTTAAAAAATATGTTTTTATTAACATTTAGGTATAAAATCTTTATTAAAAAAAAATATTTTTTCTTGACCGTTAAATTAAATATGAATTCTATTACATCCTAGGAAAGAAATGAATCTAATGAATTGATTAATGTATGTTAAAGGTTAGCAAGAAAAGGAAAAGAAAAAGGCAGTTACGAGAAACATAGAGACAAAATTTCTTACGTCTCACTATTAAAGGCTTACTTTAAATTTTAGTAAGAAGATGAATAAATGCTAAAACTTTTTTATTTTTAGATACAACAATAATTTATTCTTTGCCTACGGAAAATTTGATAAGTTCCAGAATCAATTTGTGCAACAAATGTAACAATGATCTCGAAAAATCTGAATTAATTTCAGAATTGCAAGGCTTTAAAGAGTATGTTTACAACTTGAACTTGATGAATATCTTAAAAAAGCAAACTTTTTTGAAATGTTGATTTAAATTACAATTATAGATGTACCTACATTATATATTTTACAATATAAAATACGAATTTAACGAGGCATGAGCGTACATACATGGCTTCTACAAAATGTTTATAATTAATAATTCGAAGAGTGAGTGTGTAAAAATGTATACTTACATGTATATATATATTACATAGAGGCACGTGTGGCTTCTATGTAGACTATAAATTATCGATAATAATTTGTAAAGGGTGTGTGTGTATGAAGTATATGTAGGTGCGGATACAAGCAGAGACTATGGGGGCAGAAACCCCTTCCCCTTAGGCCTTAGATACTTCAAATATTTCAAATATTGCCTACATTTAGAGTTTATCAATTAAAGTAAACTAACTTAATTAACAACTAATGTTGTCGTCCATCCTATTCTTTTTTCATTTATATCCGCGCCTGTGTATTTGTAATGCGTGAAATAATAATAAAAACTTTGGAAATTATAAAATGTTTTGTCAGTCAGTCATTCTTTCAAGCTTTATTAACATTAAATCTTCCATACTTTATAAATTACATTAAATTAATTTTATACCTATTTAATGTGTATTACAATTGTCATTACCATCTGTACATAATATGTATCAAAATAGATATGGCGTCTTAAAAGTTATAAGAAATGAAAAATTTGGACTAAAAATTATGTTAGTTATCATAGTCATTTTTTTTTTTTTTTTAATTAAAATTTAAAAATAAAGTAGTTCAGCAGTGGTAGAAATTTGTCCATCGTCCTTTTAGTCCTCGGACAGGATCATAGGCGCAATTTGGGGAGGGGGCTTGGCTGTGCTTAGCACCCCCATTTTTAAATTAGCACCCCCAAATGTGTTCATGTTAATTTACATTTAATACTCATTACTTATTATATATAGAAAAATAGAGTTTTTATTGTATAAATATATAAATTTATTATGTAAATGATGGTAGTGGAAGTTTGTCCTTCGTATTTTCGGTCCTCGAACTGGATAATAGTAATAGGTAGGGTTATCCTTTACCAAGTTAGTGAAAGTCTCATTTACGGCGTATTTTTACCGTTTCAGGACAGTTTTTTCCTCACGCCTAGAAAAAATATTAAGATTTTAAAAAAATGACCTATTTAAAGTACCACTACATGCCAATTTAAAATCTAAACATTTCCTAGAAGAAACTTTTACACTAGTATTTATATGCGAAAAAGTGTTAAAAAAATAAAATACAATCACTATAAAACCATAATATCCTTCGCTTCAATTAGAATCTGAAAGTGATCATGTGATGAAATATTTGTGTTTACAGACGGGTAATTCATTATATACGCAATAAAAATATAAAGTCAAAGCGAATAATTTAAACTTAGAAATATTCAAATATTTACTAAATATTTTAGTAACTGCTGAATTATACGGGTTGTAGGTGTATATTACCATTAAAAAACATGAAAAAGATAGAAGGGCTTCAGCACCCCCAGTTTTTTCATTGAAATTGCGCCCCTGGACAGGATAGTGTACTATTATTGTATTCGATTTGAATACATTGATCGCATTCGATAAAAAACGATTCTGAATTAATATGTTTATGTTAGTCCGTGGTGTCGCAAGGATGAAAACATAAAATGTTGAAACCTTCGTTCAGTTTTCTATTACGACTGCCGTTTGTTCGAAAAGACACCAATCAAATTAAACTAATCAATCAGGGACGAAATGTAACCATTTAATGATGAGTGCGAGGCAAAAAAATGATGACATCGAAATTCGTGGTACATTACGTTCATGCGCGTCAATTTTTCAGATTTTAGTCGATTGAAGCGACCATATCAGCACATAAATTGCGATCTTAGGAATATATTGCAACGATATTTAATACTAATGAACGGTTTGCATAGGGGAGCAAGTGTATACACCTTGTTCGTCTTGTAACTTCAACGTATAACATTTTGATCGGCGGGACATCAACGCCACTGTATCCGCCGGTTCCGTGACGCGCATACAATCAAACGGTAAAGCTATACACGTAACTGCAAGCTTGTCAATCACGCAGATCCAATATTTTTGTACAAGCATGCTTGAGCCTCTTATGATAATCTTGCGCAAGCGGAATGAAGATTGATAACATTTTCATCTGCATGCTTAGTTGCAGAAGACATTTCAGGGGGGATCCAGACACCCTAGACCTCCCCCTCACGGATACGGCCTTGATTAGTATAACTAAATCTGAAGGAGTGCGTACACAATCAATAAACAATAAACTGTTAACATGAGGTGTCATAGCTTGTGTCCAAGGTGGATATATATCCACCTTGCTTGTGTCATTATTGTATTTTGTTTTTATTAAAGGTATGATAAGAGACAAAAGGTTTAGATAAATTTCTTCGTCCATTCACAGATAATCGTGCCAATCACGTGGATACATTTTAAATTCATTTAATAAGTTTATACGAGAAAAAGTTTTTCTTCTCATTACCTGACCAGTTATTTGTACAGCACGTTTCTTCAATTTTTTTTTTTTTTTGAAAAAAAAAAATTATATCAAAAGCAGCTAAAGCGAGTTCGTCATCGTCCGAACTTGACATGTTCGAAACCCAAACCGATATTGTTTTTCAAACATGTTCGGGCCGTGCGGTGACAGAGGAAAATTATGTATGCTTGTACAAACAATTTTGTCTGCGTGATTGACAAGATTGCAGTACCTGTAAGTGTATAGACACCTTATCACTAACGAGACACGCGGTCAACAGCGGTATTAGGCCGTAATCACGTGTCGTAAAGGTCAGAACCTTGGCGCGGCACACGTGCGCGGCACATTGACCTTGTCGCTCGCGCGAGAACCGGTCCGGAACCGTCCGCGGTTTTTGATAACGGCAGCGAGCAGCGGCGCGCGCCCATTCGCTTTCCCCCTCCACGTGTGGCAATCGATACCCGATAACACGGGACGAGTTAACTCTTGTGTCCATGCTGTGTAACTAATAACTCGCGAATAGGACGCCCTCGCTGCTCGCGGCGCGCGCACCCGGTGGACCGTCGAGGTGTCGGAAATCCATGGGACGATCGTAGTCGGAGCCGTTCGCCTTGCGGTAGGTAGTCTGATATTGATTGGTTCTCGCGGCGCCGTCGTAGTCGTTGCGACGGTTAACAATATTGAAGTTAACGTTAATGGTTTAAAAGTTTTTTTTTTTTTTTATGTAAACGTTCTTGATTTACGATATTCTTTCGAATAATACAAAATAAAACTATAATATTTCAAACGCCATTAATAAATATCTACGCTCAAAAGTGTGTCGTCGGTTGCCTCAGTAGCCAATCGGACGGTTTGTAGAACACATTTTTACGATCATTTTTCCGAACAATTCCTTCTCTGCGGTTTCACAAACATTTTAAAACCGCAGCAGTTGTCTTCGATCTATAGTTTATCAATATCCTTATGCCCCTCTCGAACGTCACGGATTTATAACCTATTTCATTTTTTTAGCGTTCATTCGCAGACATTTTTACCGATTCGTCTGGATAAGTTTGATTTAACAGTAGGGTGATTATGCGGAACCGTTCCGTATTTCAATTTCTTGTCCCGTTTCAATTCTGTTATAGTTAGATCTCTACTCGACAATAGTATTTTTGGGTTTTCGTTTTCATCATTTTAGCGGGTGTAAAATTGTCTTTGTGTAAAATTATTTGATTTGTATTTAGAAATCTTTTATGTTTAATATAAGTAATATGAGCAAAATCGATGTGTCCTATGCTTAAAAAAAATAAAATATAGTCATCTTATTCAATGAATCCTTAGAAGTCTTAAAAAAGTCAATCGATAATAGTTTAATTATAATAATCAATAATTTCAGGTGACGTCTAGATTCCTTTTTTATCTGGAAAATGTGGTCAAAAATACTTAAGGCCAGTAGTCATGGGCTTGTTCGCGGGGTCGCCATATATTCAATTACCTGGCCGTTGAGCAGTATTATACAACAGTCACTGGATCCATCGGGCATTAAAGACATTGATCTGCAGCGAGCAGCGAAATTCAGCATTTATGGAGGATTGTATGTAGCTCCTACTTTGTATGCTTGGATGAGATTTGCTGGTTTTATTTGGCCATCGATGACAATCACTAGTCATATAACAAAGGTAAAAATATATTTCTATGATAAGTTAATATTAAATACCTGAAAGGTTTATGAACAACTATCAGGTGTTGTTATTTGAATAAGAAAATAGTACTTAATATATATGTAAATATTTCTCTGTAGTTAAACTAAAATAAATTATTTAAATATACAACACTTACATTTACATTTATTTTTTAGCTTTTTATTTATTTTAGATTTATCATTAAACTCTTGATTTGGCTTTCAAATAAATTATAATTAAAATCAGATAATTTTAATTTTAATTTATAATTTAAATGTCATCTACTACTGTTTTAACTACTTCGTAAATATTTAAATATTCTATAAAATTGTATTTCCTAGTAAAAATGTTATCAGTGAATTGATACTTGCATTTGATTTAATACCTAAAATATACTGTTAAAGGTTAAAAATGTCTTTCATTATTTGAACAATAAATAAAGATTCATGACATTTAACCTATTTTTTTTACATTTTAAATAATAATTTGTTGATATGATTATGTTTGAGAAAAATTATTTTGATATAAAATTAACTATTTATAATAGTAACCCTCTATCTTTATATACAATTTAATCTTAAATAGGTATTAGTATAAATTAATTGATTGGATTAAAAAGAAATTTGTATACAACTAAATTATGAAAATATAGAAGTATTACCAGATTATTTATATAATAGGTAATCATAAGATTCAGTACTTTAATAATATAGGATGCTATATTTTGCAATGAACTGTTCACTCTGTACATAATTCTGTTTAATTTTAATATTAATTTATCATTTGCAATTTCCATTTAATATACAGATAAAAATAATTGTCTGATAATATATGTGCGCCAAGCACTTCTATTATTTGTATTTTATCCAAACTGCCAGAATACTGAAAACAATTAACAATAAAAAAAGGTCAAAGATATTAAAAATAATTTTGTATAGATAATATATTGGAGTATTTAGAATTTGTAAAAAGGAATTATTTAATTCATAATTCAGTTTAAGTATTACCAAAGTCTATGGCAAACATTGTTATAGTACTGAAACTAATATTATTAAGTTTTCTCAAAATATTATACATTTGAAATATTAAATTAAGTTGTATCAATTGTTATCGTAATAGAAGTAATATTATTTGATACACATGTATTTTTAAACTGTATTAATTTTAAAAGTATTATATTTCTTATAATTTATTCGGATGCATAATTAGCATTTTTTCTAGGGATAAGGAAAACAATTATTTATTTTTATTTATATCATAGTTTAATCAAGAAAAATAAAATCAAGATAAAATATTTCTTAATAACTTCTGTTATATTTAAGAATTTAAACATTGAAAAATACTTATAGAAAAAAAAAGAAGCTTAAGATTTATTCTTCATAGTTATATCACTGAATATATTCAAGTAGTTTATATTTAATATATATTATAAATATATAAAAGATATATACATATTTTTCTTGATATCATATTTTTATTTTAATTTATTGTCATTATTTTCAGATGTATATAATTTAATACTAATATAATAGTTTATAGTTTAAAAAAGTGTGTTTAAATATTGATATTTTCTGTATCGACTCAATTTTTAGGTCTGAATAAATAAATTAAGAATATTATAACAATTTACAATTTTTATGAAATAGCAAGCAACTCTTATACAAAGTACTTATACATATCGAATATATTATTATTTTCAAAATTTATCAATTACCTACATCATATTATGATATAATATGGAAATCAATACTACTTTTTTTTTTAAATATATGTATATGAAGCCTTAATCATATTTTTTTCTTATATAAGTTAGGATAGAGTTACTTATCTCATATTAAAAACCAAAAAGTATAATAATAGTTTTATTAAAAACTATTTCTTATGCAATAGTATTGGATTGTTTATAATTACTAATGAAAAAAATTTTTTTTTTTCTGAAAATATTACATTTGATAAGAATAAAATAAAATAATTTTTAAATGTTTTAATCATTATTAATTCAAAATTGAAAAATAACCAAATTTAGGATCATAATTTAACTAAAAGTTCATAGTTTCTAAATATTTAAATTCTTAATTTGATATGTGAAAGAAGCACTTTGTGGTGTAATTAGTACATTAAGAGACAATTACAATCTGTATATATGAGTATACAACAAGTAAATAAGTTTACCTAAGAAAACATGTTTACATGAAGACACCAATCGGTGTTTATTTATATTTCAAAGGTTTTCAACATTTTGAGTGTCATCCCTCCTTTCGTACTATTTTATATCCCCTCACCATAAAAAGATTGAATTATGTTTAAATGTATATATTTTAATATGTACATTATGCATTTGATGGTGGTAATTATATTAATGTGGTAATATGAAAATCAATGATTTTTTTTAAATTTTTAAGAATTTATTTGTTTATTTATTAACCTCTAAATGTTGAAGAAATTATTAGTATTTTTATTAAAAAAAATAGAAAAATGAATTTTACATAATATTAACTCAAAAACATTTTAAGTCTACCAACTGTAGAAAAATGCTTAATTTATTATGTATCTTATTTAATAATAAATTTAAATTCCTATATTTGTATTATTTATGTCATAATTAAAACCACCCGTTCCCTAAAAAATGTCTAATTGTAGGTATGGTGGAGGTAAATTGGTCCATAGTAAAAATAATTCCTATATACCCCACTGTAAGGATACATAATGTAAATTATTACTTTTAATTTTGCAGGCAGTGGTTGAACAATTTTCATATGGTCCATTTGCAATGGCTAGTTTTTTTTTCTTTATGACACTTCTCGATGGAGGTACTATTGAAGATGCGAAAAAAGAAGTTCAACAAAAATTTATTTCTACATGGAAGGTATTATTTTAGATATTTGTCATTTTTATTATTTATGTTTAATTAAAATATTCTTGAAGAGTATTAAAGTATATTTTAATTTCAATATTTTTGTTTTTTCCCTTTAAATTAAATACTATACTAAATTCAATTTAATTTCAAATTTAATTCATTAATGTAGTTAATTCCATTTCCAAATTATCAGAATTATCTGAGTATCTAAATATTTTTTAATGTGTAGAAATTGAGCAGATTAAATAACTAATTAAAAATATAAAAATTAATATTTAAAATATGATTACTAATTTATTATTATTTTTTTAAATTTAGATAGCAATCATAGTTTGGCCATTTTTACAAACAATAAATTACTGTATCATTCCTCCAAAGAATCGTTTAATTTTTGTCAGTTTGGCTGGGCTTGTGTGGACTTCATTTTTAGCTTATATGAAATATGAAAAAAAAAAGTCTATAGATTATGAAAAAACTGATTGATAATTTGTATTTTGATATTTATTTTTCTATTTTATTGTTTTAAGTATTCAAAGTATTTAATTGTTATTTATTATTGATTTTAATTGTTATGAATTATTTAAACTATTGTTGCTAATTATTGTAATTATTTAAATATGAATATTTGTTTAAATAACATATTAACAACTTGTGAAATTTATATTTTAAAAAGTTGCGATACATTTATAATGTTGGTGAATTTATACATGTTATAACTAGACAGTACTAGTCTAAAGAATTATTGTTATTAAATTGTTGTTTTTACTTTTGCAATTATTTTTTTGTAAATTATAATTTATATTGTCTTTTAAGAATTGTATTTATTTTTATTGATATGTTAAATCACTATTAAAATGCTTACCAATCATGTAAAGAAACTACCTAGTTTTTACATGATTTGATGTTACCACACTGTATATGATTTCCCTAAAATTAGTGTTAAGTTTACAGTAAATGTTATTCTTGACTGCCACTCGTGTGGGTTGTTATAAAATTAACAATTTAAGTACGAGTCATTTATTATTTAACTACACATGAGCAGTAGATACATTTAAGTATAATAGTAAACCGATATTTGTAAGGCCTAATTTTGTTGCTTGAAACAGAATGTGATATTAATTTTACTGTTGTATATGTTGTATAACGATTTCAATAATTTAAAATAATATCATTTTTATTGAATATTTAACTTTTTACTATATAAGAACTTAGTTTTGAGTTAAACCCTTAGATAGATAGTGAAAAATGTTTAATTTAATGTAATAATGCCAATTAATTTATCAGTTATATTTTTACGCATATATTATAAATTTCATTTGTATTAATTGTTTTTAATTAAAAAAACAATTTTATTTGAATTTTGAATAGTAGCAATAATATTACTTATGATCTTCCGTTATATATAATGAAATAAAAACTTATAAAGTCATAAATTCAATTATTGACACTTACATTATATATATATATTAATGTTTAATGTTAATACTGTTTTTTTTATTAATATCTACATACAAATTATGAATTTTTTTTTATTTATAATTTGAATTAATTTGATTAGGTGTTAAATTTAAGTCATTAGTTTTTACACACTATTGTTGTACATTATAAACCGAGTTATGTATGAATATATATATAATTATATGAATACATATATATAATTTATAGTAACAATATAGTTTTTGATTTTCAAAAGATAAACCTATATTTTCTGGGTATTTATTGGTCCATATATACTCTTTTATTTTTTCAGTTAGAAACAGGTAAATTATTAATTCAATAATTGAGTAAAAATGTATAAAATATAATCTTTTTTAAATTATCAAAATTATCAAAATTGTCAACATTAATTCTTAAAAAGTCATTTATTCTAAAAAAAACTAACGAAACGGACTTCGCAATATATAAATATTACAATTATTAGTAGGTATCACATTATGTATAGTCGAATTCGCTTAATGGAGACCAGACTTGGGTAAAATACTTATAAAAAGTATTTAGAATAAATACTAGAATACTTACAAAAAATAGTATTCCGAATACTTTTAAAATACTTCTAGTTTTCATACTATAAAAATAATGGATGTCATTTGGGAAGGGGCAGACTATGGTAAATGCCCCACTCTAAGAAATTTTAAAAAGTCGGCAATTCTTTGACCGATGATCAAATGCTAAAATTGGTAAATAGTACATTTTTATTTACTATTTTGTACTCAGAAATCAGATAATATTCTCTTTTAAATACACGTTCACGGTTTATTAAAAGTTGAGAATCACTGGCTCCTTCCCGGTTTATGACAATCGTTACTATGCGAATCTTATAAACTTTATTTTTGATAAATATATAAATCTATATGATGTAATCTTTATAAAACAGTTTTCATGATATCGATACCATAAAAATTGAACTCATAATCTATAAAAGAATCGTGAAAATCATTTCTATTCACCCCAAACTACGGTACAATATATTTTTAGATACTATTTTATGTTTTTATAAATAAGTTCTGTAAAGTATTAAACATACAAATAATAAAATTATAAGTATTTATTGAATTAGATTTATATTATTATTCCATTAAATCTATTCAGTGGCGTAACTGGAAAAAAATCTAGGAGGGCAATATAATATATTTATTATTACCAATATTCTGACACCCCTTCCCCTCACCAGTTAAAACATATTTGTATTGCATGTATTTTATACACTATATCTAATTAATTGATTTTACATAAGTCTTTTAACTCATTTTATGGTTTGGAATAACATAAATTGTAGGTAGTAGGTACTAGGTACCAATATTATTAAATAATACCCATAAGAGTTCATTAATAAAAGTTGCTATTTGTACTGATGGATTATCTGGAGGGGGGGGGGGGCAAAATTATATCTTTATCTCTCAAAATTGTCAGAGGGGGCACTTGCCCCCCCCCCCTTGTCCCCCACAATTATGCCACTGAACCTAGTGATAGGTAACTTATATCCTATAGGATAAGTAAATTAATTAATGTTTTACTATTTTAAATGTTATTATTTAACTGTGTAAATTGAAATGTTTCATGTTCTTTGTTTATCATCATGACATCATTGTTCATTACTAATCCTTACATGTTTTGTTCCAAAAGATTTTTTATTGATTTGTCTATCGTCCATAAATATTAAATATTTAAATATATAGGTAACCATAATTTTTTAAATATTTTGAAGTCGGTAAATTTAATCAATTGCCTCACCCTTTTAAAAATTGAAATAACGTCCTTGCACACTTGCCGCAGCATTACATCTACTTATGATTATGACTACTTATTATCTGCGTAGCTATATACATACAAGGTAATAGATATAATAACTATAGTCGTTACCTACAATGTTTTAATATATGATTTAAAATAGCTTTTAACATGGTATCTAATCAGAGGCGGACTGGGGAACAATCGGCCCAGGGAGAATAGTCAAAGTAACTAGCCCTAATCTTGTTTATTCATACAATAAACGTATAAATGTAATTTTATACTTATATAAGTTACCTAAACTCAACTAATTATAAAAATAACAAATAATTACATTTAAAAATAATTTATTAATTATTATTTAACATTAATATTTGTTTTTAACATAAAATATTTTTCATCAATGTAGAACTTTCTTTAAATTCGAACCCAAATCCGTCTACATCATCGTTTTCAGCGTTAAAAAATACATAAGTTGGCAAAAGAAAAAATGAACGGAGTTGAAAAATCCAGTTCGGCAGAATGAGTTGGAATTCCCATCCCTAACAATTATACTGTATTTAGATTAACTGATTTTCAAATTTCCAATACATCGTTCAAATGACGATAATGATAACAATGAAACTATGAAACATGTCGTTTTATGATTTTTAATAATAATAAAAATTTATAATCGCATTCTATACTGTTGACCAAAATAGCTACACAAACCACATTTTCTTATTTATTTTTATATTTCTGAACAATAATAAAGTTGGAAGTGAATTAATTACGTATTTTCATATTATTTATGTTAATGTAATTTTCCTAATATTATAATATTATTTGGATTGTACTGGCTTTTTTTTTAGTATTAGTATCTATGAGAGGCCCAGGGAGATAAATCCCCCTAACTCTCGCAGCCAGTCCGCCTCTGTATTTAACATTATACTTGAAAAAACTAATTATTAAACCACAATATCATTAAAAGCACTCAAAAAATAATAAATTATTCATTTTTAAACGAAGAAATATTTCGTATTCGTATAATTGTATAATTATAGTATAATACTTTCCTCCTAGCAGCTAGATCTTAGCTTGAATATTTATATGTATTAAAAACTTTCAGATACTCGAATATTTTGGGTATTAGATACCCAGTGCCACAACTACAAAATAGGAGGCCCGTGTGCGGTAATTATATTGGGCCCCTTCCTAGGATTTATTTTTGTTCAATTTAAGTAACAATTTTCTTAGGTTTTAAAACACGTTTCACATCAGTTAGTGTGTGATATACAGTGTTGAGTTCAGATAACAAAAATAACATCTAGATAAATATTAGATTACTAGCTAAATCAATATCTAGATTAATATGAAGATAGAATATTCAATTTTTATCTAGATAAATATGTAGATAAAATTTTTTCATCTAGATTTATATCTTACAATAGTTAATTTGTATTTGTAATGCTTGTATTTTTAATTTGTATTTGTAATGCTTGCCGTGTTATTGGATTCTTGGTTGAGTAATTGATTAAGGGAGGCAAACCAAGAAGGCTCGTTTCGTGTCAAAAATATATTACCTAATGAATAAATATACATATAAAATATTTAAATACCTATATAATATTATATTTAGCATACAGTAGGTACCAATTTCAACATATAACAAAATATCAAATAACCAAAATCATGGTAATGATTTTGTGACAGTTTTGACAAGAAGCTTTGATTTTGTCACCATTTATCGACACCAGTTTATATACTGTATCGAATAAATACTGAAATTTAAGTTCTGGCAATGGTGCAGGAACATCAACAGCAGGCGGAGGTGGGTCATCGACATTTTCTAGACAAATTCTTTTATTGGGCGTTGAAGACGTTATACTTAAAAAACGATCCATATTGGCAGTAAACAAGAAAAACTTGAAAAGAGCAATAAAGTTTACGAAACGAAGTTGTAAATAACAATGAAATTACTCAACACTCATCAGTCTGTGTTCTATAGGGAGTCGCAATAGTAGTAGCCACTAGTCAGTCCCACGGATTATAAATGTATAACCACAAACTATTATCGAATTGATTCAATGAGTGTGACCATGACAGACCAAAGTATAGTCTAGTGACTAGTATCTGGTAAAGAAATTAAATTATTGTACAAATATTATTATTTATAACATCCAATTGGGAATTGGTATTGTCAATACAAAATAGATGTGCGTGTGTATTCTTGCCGGTGGAGAACTATTTTTAGTATTTTCCACATTATTTACCGATCGACGGGACGTGTGGTGGGGTATAACTGTATAAGTGTATAACAGCTTGTATTGATATACGACCGCGACAGCGTCTGCAGTCGGCGTACGGGTTCTATTGTTAATTTGATAATAATGAATCGTCATTAAAGATTAAACATAATTGCATAGTATCATATTATTATAATATTTGATGGAAAATGACTAAATGAAAAACGTGCATTATAAAATGAGATTTATCTAGAAATTTATGTAGATTTCCGTAACTTAAATCTTAGATACCAATTAGATATTATATAATTTATTCATCTAGATAAGATAAAGGTACTTAATTTTCATCTAGATAAATTATCTAGATAAATGTATCTAGATACAACTCAACACTGGTGATATATGTATATACATCAAACTAAATACCTATAACTGTTGTATATTATACTTCACTACATATTTATATAGTAAATTTATTTAAGTAGTTTAGGTAGGTATGATGTATGCCTACTCAAATACTCAATGGGCTCATTGTTAAATAAATATTATATTATTTTAAAATATTATAACAACCTTACCTGAATTTTAGAAAATTTTCTTTTTATTATTAAATAATTGTGTATTTGTAAAGTGCAGTTTATTTCAGGCCTGGACTAGGACCCCCCCCCAAAATTTATGTAAGCCTGGGGACCCGTGTGCACGGCATACTGCACGCCCGGTTTTTGCGGCACTGTAAGTACTACAGTACTACAGGTACACTACTCGAAAACGTTGATTACCCGAAAAATCGGGTATTACCTGGATATACTGATACCCGGGTACCTGAATTGGTGGGTACCCGGGTATTAATCATAACAAGAGCACCAGTTTAAATTTTGAGGTTCTACGCCCTTACTCCTCTTTCTCAATTAATATCAATGTATATTACAAGTATAGGTATTATTTAAAATGTCCTATATTTTGAAAGAATTTTTAAAAGAAATCTAGGATCAAGGCAAAACGCAGGGGGGGGAGGGCCACGCCCTCTCCGCTAATTTAGATAATACCTAATTTTTATTGCATTTATTTGCATTTTATTTAGCAGTCTTGGAGGGCGATAAGGAGGACTGATAACTGATAAGTTGACACAAAATTGTTCGTCAGTTTTCAATATCACTAGGTATTCGGTATTTGGTTTATTTATTTTTATCATGGTTGTAGATTCATATCATATCAACTCTATGGTCCATATACAATTATTGTGGTTTTAATTGATAAAGTCATAGTGATGACCACGGTTTAAGATATCTAAATCCATGGTGATGACTGTTTTATCACAGAATAGATTAAATTTAATCTATTATGTGGTTTTATACTTTTATGATAATATTGTTGTTATTTTTTTAAAAAGTCAACAATCTGACATTGTTGAAGATATAATTAAGCATTTCTGCATGGAACCACGGCGTGTTCAATTTTTATTTGATGATAATGATCAACGAGTCATAATTATTTATTATTAGTTATTTTTTTCATTTTATATTATACATGCTTATTTATAACAACATAATATTATATATATAAGTATATACTTACTATATTATAGTAAATAAATAATTTTTTTTACGATGTGATAAAAAACAGAATTTATGGTAAGTGTATTATAATATTATTTTTTCGCTCCCCCCCCCCGAGAAAAATTTCTGCGGGTGGCCTTGTCTAGGATCCTTACTCTTGGTCTCCTCTTCACAAATATCTATTATGATATTTAGCCGAAAAATTAATGCTATTTTTTTAACAAATTCGTTTTTTATTAACATATCAGACGTATATAATGTACTTACATCAATAAACATTTTAAAAATTATAAATATTATTACATATAGGTATAACTATAGTTTATACACATAATTTTATCTTATGCAGGAAGCATGCATTCGTCGAGACATCGTGAGAGCAGCCTAGCGCGACAGTGAATTAGACACGCTCGTGTCACTTTGCCTTGCCTAGCTCACCTTGACGGCACTCGATCGGAAGGCGGTTTTTTGTGGTGCTAGAGTCAAAGGACACGAGGCTATTCGAAATCCAAGTACCTGAGCACCCAGTTCATATTCGTGCATTTTCGCATATTTTTTTTGTGTTTTTTTTTCGTTGTGCCTTAATGTGTGATTGGTCCAATTAATTTACATTGAAGTTCTTGGAGTTATACCAAAATAAACCCGTGATATGGGACCCAGAGCATTCGTATCACAAGGACAGAAAACAAATCGACGATGCATGGGTTCGATTATGCAGACAATTGGAATGTTCAGTAACCGAGTTAAAGAAAAAAGACTTGTTAATGGCTAAAACTAAGGGCCATTTGCGTAAAAAAAACGCTTCAGTCGGATCAGGTGCCGGTGCAAATTATATTTACAAGCCAATATGGTTTGCTTATGAATGTATGAATATATAATCTCTTCTAGCACCAGTTTACGAATGACAGATAACTGTTAACCAGAGCACTGAACATAAAAATGCGAGTGCATGTAACCCGAGGTAAACTGAATGTGTATTGCGTGCACTCATGCTTCCTCTCGCCGACAGATTATTTTAGAAAATGTTTAATGCCGGCATAAAAATTATAGATAATTTAATGTTATTTCTTAATGCGCTATTGCAATTTAATTTACACGATAAGAATTTAGACTGACCAGGTCTCTAATTGCATTCTTTTTTTTTTTTCGTGGAAAATCATTGACAACAACGCCAATGTCTACAAGTATATCTTTAAGAACATTTAATAATAATAAACTGATTATACTACTAGAGGTGGTGAAATCCGATGTCTAAATAATTTATAATACTACAAAAGAAGTTCAATACACGGACCGGCGGGTGCTTCAGCACTCCCCTCCCCTAAATCCACCACTGATCATTTATAATGTATGTTTTTATAATTGTTCCGACGCAGTGACACGCAGTTATAATAATTTCCATAAAAATTAATCGTATACTATACAGACGAAGGAGTAGTTATACAATATATCTGGTACTAAAGGATACTAGGAAAGGAAAGTTGTTCAACTAAAATTCATTTTACGAGCAAGGCATGAATTATATGTATTTATAAAATTTTTTTTTTTTGGTGGAACAATTGTTTTTTGTTGATGTACATCATATTACACACTATAGAATAATATCAAAGTAGATATTTACAATTTAGTTTTTCCACATACATGTAAAAATTAGGTTGGTAAAGTAATAACAAATTGAAGATTTACAAGTACAAAATTCCTAAACTCAATGATTAACTTCGATTTAATCTAGTATATTATAATAATTATGGATTATGAAAAATATCGATTATTTAAGTGATTAGTTAACAAGTGAATACACAAATAAGTCTATATATACACAATACACGTTGAAATATCTTAATTTCAATGACTATAATCGTACATCGTTTATTTTATACAATTTATTACATAATGTTTTAAAAGTAAACATTAACAAAAAACTAAAATAATAATTTATTTAATATAACAAATAACGAGTTTATATACACGCGATCTACTACCCGGCGGTGTATTTATATATGCATTAGATTTTTAAACTACATAAATCGAATGTAATAATGTACGTAACCAAGAGGGTTTAAAACTATTATTGTAAAATTTTAATGTAAGAAATTTAAATATTGTAAATTATATTATATTATAATATAACAATTATATTGTTAATATCTTAACAAATTAATTAATGAATTCATAATTCAACAAGAAACAACACGAATCACTAACCTGCTACGATATTACAAACAATGCATATTTTATATAATAGAACAGTACCACACGGTTATATTATACTTAATAACAATTCGTTATGAAAATAGAATTTACTGCTACGTAAATAAGTGTTGGCATCCGCCGATACGTAGGTATAACACATTAATTTGAATATAATGTAATAGATTATTTGAAATATTCAAACGAAACAATAATATATAATGTTATTGAATAGCGATATGTTCAATATCGATATCGATTGCACTATGATCTAGTCAGGTAAATATATATATATATATATAATAAAGTGTCTATATGTTTATAATAATGATAATATAATTAGTTAAATTGTTTTATATATAATGAATAACAAAAATATATAATATGTACCAGCTAAGTATTATATTATTACCAGTATAACACAGTTTTTGTCCACGAGTAAAAGGTACACAGTATCATTATTACCTGGAAGCACTCTGGATTTTACTCATTTTTCTCGAAATATTTTAACGGTGTAAAATTCGAGAAAAAAAAAACAACAAATAACAATAATAATAATAGTAATGGTAATAAATAGATAAATAGGCATTGACTAAGTATCAATGAAATAGGTAACCGGCAAACGGGGGCAGTTTTAACGGAATTAAAATGTTGTGCATAATAAATGTTAAGCCGCAACCCGTTGGGCGTATAATATTCAGAACCACGTGCAATGTTACCGTTTAAATCGGCGCCTCGTCGTAATTAATATTGTACAACGCGGGCACGGTTTCGCAATTAAACGCCGCGGGTACCCCGAACGACACGTACGCACCCCGGCCACGTCATCGGTGTTACAACGTTTTGGGTGGCGTTTCCCGTCGCTGCCACCGATTCCGAAAACGAACGGTAAAACGATTTACATTGCTGTATCGTCCCGAAGGCGTAAAACCGACGATGCGAATCGGTCGTATTCGCACTTTCGCGCGGACGAACGAAAACAACTGTTTTACTGTGCGTCAATGACTTTCGGGACTCAGCGCACTCACGTTTTCCAAACCACGGGTGTCGAATATTATGTAGCATTCCGTTGTTTTCTAAAAATGAAATTCAGGCCTAAGAATAGCGTTTTTCAGTGGTTTTTTTCAACACTTCCTGGAAATATCATGAAAGACACATTTAGGCACAACAAATTTTGGTCTAATCATTTTAATTTAATGAATAAACTACAAACGGAAACTGTCAAGATTGTAAATTCACGTGCATCTTTCTGTATTGCTTTATATGGTTTAGATATTTTAATTTTAAATTATTTTAAGTATATTTTTGAATAGCGTTTTTAATGTTTTCATAGTATTTGAGAACCATTAATATATATGTAAGAATTAGCTCATAATCTCAACGTTCTAGCCGTAATATTTAACACAAAATAATTTCTTTGTTTACCCTGATTTTCAACTACTTAATCGACAAATATTATGTTAACAAGCTAATAAAAACAAAACTACGTACATACGTAATAATAATACGTATATAGTATCGAAAAACGATTATAATTAAAGTCTACGTTTCAAGTCTAACGATTTACATATATTTCTTGGACTTAATAGTAATGTGTATACATACACACATATATATATATAAAACAATAACAATAAAAAGGGTAAGAATTTTTATTACGATAGTCGTCAGTAAAGGTCTGTATTTTAAAAATAATCATAACACGCTATGATTCTTATTGGTGATAAGGTATTGTTGCTCTAAATTAAATGCAACGAAACAAAATCTAAATTTCAACATTGCGCACTAAATTATTTTTGACTTATTTATCCCTTTAAAATAATTTTTTATCGGACTTCGACAATTGATCGATGTAAAAATTTCTAGCTATCCTCCTCCCTAACTGATAAAAAATATTCAATATCATTTTTGAAAAAATAATAAGTACGTATATTATATCATACTCTTTTAGAGGTACTAACTTATTGGCTTTTGTGTTAATAAATATTTACTATAACATTATATACTCGTACATCTTCAATAATTTTAATAAGTGTAACACCTCTAACTAAACTTTCGATTGCAACCTAATTGTCAAACGTATCTATAACGAGCAAACGGTATATATTAAAAATCCATTGATGTACACAGAATCTGTAAACACCACGTGGTAAAAAATCAATCTATATTGTTGTATAAACTAAACGCGTCCTAAACACCGACTTGGGTTGGTTCGGGCATCGAACAAATGTTAATTAAATACGACGAAACAAAGACAAATACAGTGATTGATTTTATTGCAGCCATAAAATAAAAATTAAAATAAAAGAAATTTGTAGCACATAACAGTACACCGTTATAATTTCAAAAACTACTAGAAGAGTAAAATGAACACATTTTAAAGTAAAACTTTTTATTTTTAAGTCATGAATAATAAATTATGACTACGATAAATTTTTAGGTTTCCCATAACAATAACAATTATAATATGATAATAATAAAACTAACTTTGCCTTTGATGCACCTAAAACTATTTAACAACAAATTTATTTTAAAATTTTCTCTCGTATGAGTACGATATAATGTAAGATTCATATTAGTGACGGCATGAAACCATTTATATGTGAACTATGGAGTGTTTAACAATTATAAAATGCTAAATAAATGTATTATTTTGGAATAACGCCAAGTTATTGTAAATTTTAATAACAGGGAATTTGTTAATATATTAACCTTATGCAAATATTTCAACCACAAAAAAGAGTTGATGACACGTTTTATGATTTATTTGGTTGGATACTGTGGTGAGTCTACCTATAGGCATACAACATATTATATGTAGGATCTCATGCACTGATTTATCACAGTTTATGAAAATTGTGGCCATTATTTGGAAGATAATTATCTCAGAGGAAATTTTTTTTAATGGAAATTCGTATATAACTACAGCAGATTACACCACTATTTTAATACGAGTATCTCTAAATTTAATCAAATAAGCTGTACATTTATTAAAGTTGTTTTGAATTATTTGAATTTTTTTTTCTTAACTAAATATACATAGTTCATAATATTGATTATTATATGTTATAATATTGATAAAGGAACAAACAAAAGCATCCGAGATGTTTTTAAATCGAGAATAGGCATTTGATAAATGTATTTAATTTTAGTAGAAAAAAATGGTATTAGATTACTTTAATAGACAGTTAAATATTATATATACAATATATACCATCAACTAGACGATAGTCTGATATATATATGTAGTTTAAATAATAATATTGCCTATAATGAACAGTTTTATTAGTCTCCTGAGATCCATTACTTGTATATTCGATTTCTACCGCACTTTGAGATTCAATTTATCAGTTAATTCATAAATTAGTAAATACCTAATTTTCGCAGAGCACGCTGTATACAACCTGTTAACAAGTTAATAATAACACACATCGTTCAAAGGGAACTAATTAAGAACTTTAACGAAACAATGTATTAAAGATATATATGAGGTGTGGCAGCTATGTCTGTGATGTAACCTTAAACGTTAGTTACGAACCAAGTGCTATATTCACCATTATACTATATTAAACAAGTAGAAATAGTCGTCTAGGACATATGCTCCATGGGATATACTATTTACATAGCATAGCTATACATGATCGTTATAAACGTTTGAAGATATATCTTTCGTGTTTCTCACTTTGTTCTATTCACATATATAAATTTAGAAAACGGGTTAAATTGAAAGCAAGTGAAACCATTACACGGTTTCTGTTTTGGCGAAGACCGACACGTAACACAACGATACGCACACGCACACACACATACACACTCACACATACACATTTATATGTATAAATTATGTGTTTTGTGTATAATTCGATTCAGTGGTGTGCCCAGGGGGGAGGTTAGGGGTTATATCCTCTCCTATTGACTTTTGTTCCTTATGGGATTTACTAATTTGATTTGCTCTACCTAAAATGTATAATTTCATAAAATGTAAAATTATTATTTTATTTCTATTACGTATTATATTTACCATTTAGTATAAATCACGTCTAGTAAATTCTATATCCGTCGTTTTACGAAAATTAAGATAAACAATCAAACATATATTATGATTGTTACTGCGATAATACGAATTATAAATTAAAGTAATATTGTTATCGTTATTCTATTGACTAACCACCAAAAACTTATTATCCAAATGTTCATCAGTTTATCAATGTATTATAAAATATTATCAGCGAGGGAGTTGATACTTGTTATAAATTAATTCATATATTAATTATATTAATTTAGTGAACTCTATAAATTGTGGGCTGCAGAAATTATTAGGTATCTATTATCTACTACATATTTGAGTGCTTCACATTTGCTTATTCAAATTTTTTACTATGTTAAAACGTGACGGAACAATTGAGTTATATTTTTCCAAAAAAAAACTATTTTTGATCAAACAGTAAGTTGAATGGATTAGTCCTAATAAACATCCATCGAAATATACAGTTAAAGACTGATGATATTCTAAATTAACCGAGTGCGAAAGCAGGCGTTTAAATTTCCATCTCAGAATAATTTAATGTTTAAATATTTGTTTTTATCAATTGTTTTTCATTTTAATTAAATATTAATAAAATAATTTAACGAATAAAGTGTTTGATTGAGTACCTATAAATAAGTAGCTATACTGTTGCTACTCTTGTAGTTTTTGGTGGTATAAATTAGTTATATTAAATTAATAAAATAGTAATTTGTAAAAAATGAAAATGTACTTTTAAGTTGAAGTTACAATGATTAGGTTAATGATAAGAAAAGTCGGAAAAGTGACGTTTTGAATGTAAAGAGAACCATTTCTTTGTTCTTACTATAATTCACCAGGTTGAACTTTTATTTCCTTGCCTAGATTTAGTTCCCACTTCGCCATCAGATAAAATCCCTCCCACAGGAAATTCTTGGGCACGCCACTGATTTGACATACGTACAATAAAATCAGTCGGTTGTGAAGGCGTCTTTACATTATTGCGTCCGCGGGCAGTACGAAGGTCTAATATTCGATTACCAAGAAGGAAGGAAAATAAGCAATTTGCTTTTCCGTCGCTACAATAAGCCCGAGATCGCCTTAAGCACAAAGCTTTCCGACAGTATATAACTTCAAAACGGATCACGGATGTTTTTTTTGACGAGGATGACGTCCGCAAATAAAGGGTATGTGTGATCATCGGCGAAAGAATATTGCTAAAATGAAATTATCGAACTCGATAATGGTATCAGATAACTCTATAGTATCAGATGCGACCACAAACAAAAATAAATAATATACATTATTCAATAAAAATATTGCACACGTGTTTCGTTTTTTTGGAAGGAATTCGTCGGTGCAAATAATTTATCGCGAACGATGTGATTTGATGGAGCCGAAAAAAAAACTACGCTATATTCCTCACCGTTTCTTTCACGGATCTGTTTCACAGGAAATATAGATACCTAAAAATCATACAATTTGTATATACTGTATTTTGTACAAGAAAAAAAAAAAGAAAAGTTTCCGTCGGTGATAGGTTCCGAAATATCAAACGTATATAATGAATGAAGTACAGGGGCCGAGGAAGGATTATTTGGTTCACTCCTGGAGGAAGAGGGAAAGGGTGAAGGTTATACAATGACGTTAAACCGCAAAACGGCTTGGCCACCACCAATGTTTACCATCGAATTAATATATACTTGCGTGTACTCGCGCGGCAAACGTCTGGTGGACGTTCGATCGCGCTTCCGTCTTGCAAAACACGTAAAACATAGCAGAATCACGATTCGCAAACGCCGCGAAAACCGCAACTCGGTGTGTGCTATCGATTATGGTACGTGGTGGCGCGACGTCGTTTGCGGGGCAACGCGAGAGGATGTGCATGTATTTTAATACCGCAATTGTTTTCGAAACGCACGGACGCGGCTTTTCCCCGGCAGCGACGTCCCGGGTGGTTGGACTCGAGACGATGTCGTCGCCGACGTCGAATATAATAATAATCCGCGACCGTGACGCGGACACAGCACGTCAGGGACCCGCGCGGCTGTAGACCTGAGCCCGGCAGCCGTAACTGGGGAAGCGCAGGGCGGCGTCCGCCGAGTCGTGGGCGGCGGAAGGTCGAACGCGCGCACCCGCGGTTCCCGGGGCCATCAGACGGTGGTGACGCGGTCGTACTCGACGTAGTGCACTACGTCGTTGACCTTATGTCAGTAAACCACGTCGCACGCGGCCATCATCGCTTCCGTTTCCGTTCCCTTGGCGGACGATCCTCTAGCGCACACCGCGCCCGATCTCGCGGCGGCCGACGACGCCGACCGGAAGCGCCGGAACCACAGCACGGTCAGCCCCGACGACACGGCCACGATGACGATGGCCACGGTCAGCGCGATGCTGTACACCAGGTGCGTGTACAGCAGGTGCATGCAGTACCCGAACGACTCGTCGTAACCCGACGGGCAGTGTTCCACGCCGTCGCACCACAGCGACTCGTTGATGCATGCGTCCAGCTCTGGGCACTGGCTGTGGCAGTACGGTCCGTCCGCACGAATCCTTTTCGGACAAACACAAACGAAGGAAAACCCGTCATTATTGTGACTTTTGAAACAATGCTAGTGTACAGTTACGACACGACAGCAACGTACAGAACGTGATTGTGCAGTGATCGTTCCGATCACGTTCGCTTTAGTCAAAATAAACGGGTGATCGCGTTTACCTATAGGAACCGTTATGCATTCGCCGCAGTTAATTATTTCATTTTAACTATGAACGCAACTGAAATTTCCCCGCATTTTTTTTTTTAAACAATTTTTCCCGAATCGCCTTCCAAAAACAAATTATTTGTAAAAAAAAAATGTTTGAAAAGAAACTTTTATGCTCGCGATGGGAGAAAATAGTTCAAGGCCACGGCACATGAGCTACAAGACGAAAATCCGTCACGATTGATGTCACAGTAGGATGGTTATGATGACGCGTTGGTGGCGTTGGTTTACACTTATACACGCGCATGTGCATCATTTTCTAGCATATGCAGACACGGAAGGCAACGCAGGTCAGTCTAAAAATCTAAAAAATCTAAAAAAAATTCTGGCGCTGCCACTGGAGGTAGGCATTTTCACCAAAAATACTGAATGTATAACATCTTTTACATGGAATTCCACATGATTTTACTCCTTCAAAAAACGGGGGTACATTTATATATACGCGATAAGACATAATAAAAACGGAAATTTGAGCTGTCAGTAAACTAAAATATTTCAGCGTGTTAAAATTATGAATGATACAAAAAAAGTATGTAAAGTTTATTTATTCCACCAAAAAGATTTCTAAACCAAAAATATTCTCATAATTCATCAGATTTTTATAAAATCCGCATGAGGGCATTTACTGTTTTGTAAAGGAGTGTAAACAAATATTACGCTATATTCATAACATTCTTAATAATTTTGACTTTGTTATTCTTAAATTGTTTACGGATAAAAATATTTACAGTATAAAGTGGAGACATCTATTGTGTGTATATATACAAACAAGTACCTACTATTGAGGTAAAATATGTTTGCTAAAATAATTTTTTTATGACCGAGTCAAATGAGCCGCTTAGTCCCAATTAGAGTAGTTAATAATTCATTCGGAGCTTTGTAGTATTTTCAAGCGGTCGTATACGAAATGTTCTATTCATTGCAACTACTGCGTAAGTTGAACCTTTTATCCGTAAAGGTTTTTTTTTTGTTTCAATAAAATGGCTCAAACGATTATTCATTTTTAAATAAAGGGTTATTTTTCGAAAATAAACTTGTGAAAATAGCTAGTCTGATTTATTAGCTTATGCAAATATTGAATACATTTTATGAAACCCATTAACATGGTAATTGCTTAAACTAATACCCGTCTCCACGTATCGAATTGTTTTTCGTGTCATGACTTAAGGTTGATGTCATACATAATACATTAAAATAATATAAGTATTAGCTATAATATTATTTAAACTTGCTTTACCCTCTTATTAAATTAATGTAGATAGTAATACCAATGATTCTGTTTATATATCTTGTAATATTAAATCTTGTTTTCGTCATTATTTCTGTTAATCCCCAAACTATCTCCAAAAAAAAGTTACAGCCTTTTTCTCTGGGATCTTTTTTCCAAATGACCTTCTTTATATAATATATTATATAATCCCATGAGTCATATTTTTAAAGTAGATTTAAAGTATAACCCCTTCTACCAAAACGTTCAGCGTGGTAGGTAATCCAATTTTAGCAAATCGATCAATCCTGATAACCTATGTAAAGTCGTAAATTTTATTATGATAAAATATGATAACTCATACAGTTTAATATAAAAGTATCAGAGTTAAAGTTGAAAATTTAGATTGTTCGATCAAAGACTTACAAAGTGTTATTGATGCGTATTTAAAAAACATGGGTTTAAAAACAGGTAAATATATGATTCGACGATTTTCAAACATTTGTTATAAGTTTGTGAGGGGAAAAAAAGTAAGTACCTGGATGAAAGTTGTATCCAAGAAACGGTATACGATCCCGGGTCAATGGGTATGAATTCAATTATGATGTCACGTGAAGAATTCGACATGATTTCTCTTGTGTGCCATCCATTTGAAAATACCTGTGACAATAAAATATATACGGTGGTTACGTTTTATGGCTTTCGGCTTTTAAGATAATTTATAACAAACCTCAACTGTATAATATGGATCCGGACAGACCACTTTATGGACGGTATCGCCAGAATGCACTATGAATCTATTGTTTGTTGGACAATGTACGTGCAGAGAGTTGTTTGATACGGCATGAGACGAGTCGGGCATCGCCAATCCTGGTAGTTTTGCGTACAAATAATTGTTAGTGTACTTTTGTAGGGTGAGTATGACAAAATGAGATTCACATGTAGTCTGTAACGAAATTATTTATACTGAATGTAGAACACGTCAGCTGATATCAGTTGCTTACGTTATAGTGGGAGTGGAACGTGAAATGACCTCCCGGACCTGTTAACAGATTGCTTTTTACTTCACAGCGTTTCGGGATCACTTCTCGTCTAACGAACTGTACGGTGGCTTCAAAGTAGTGTAGCCGAAAGTCTTCTGTTGAGTTCATGTTTAGAACATCCCACACCATTGAAGCCTTTGAACCCAACGTGACGAATGTATAAGGTAAAAAGGATTTATTGGTCGAACACAAACAATGTCTGGGCACTAGCATGGTCTTTGGGCCATTTACTTCGTCCAAAATACTTAAAGACGAGCTAATATCGCCTACACATTGTAAAGTACCTCGGTCTTTGTTCAAACGGCTATAACAACTCCGATCTCCTGAGCCAATTTTAAGTATTGTGACTTTAGCCACGTCACCAGGCTGTCCCTCTAATCTGAATATGCAACTTAAAAAAAAAAAAGTTGAAAAATTTCAATAATATTGCAGTTTTCTAGTGATTATTAAGATTCTAAATAATGGTGGTGGTGGGGGGGGTGATTCAATGTTGCTTTCATTATTATTGTTTATAACTTATTGCAATAAAATGTTTAGGTAACTGCGTACAATCAAAAATAATAATGCACCAAATATTAATTTTACTACTATGTAAGTATACATATTATGTATACACACTACAATATTATTAAATAACAGACAAATGGTTTCAATAATCAAATGGTATATAATCAAGAAAACGGTTGGTTATATCTGAAAAGGGAGATTTAAGACTGATGCTGACATCCATTGAGTCAAATATAATTTTATCAATAAGGAATCATCAATCTCAATGTAGTCACTAATTAAAAGTAATTTTTCTGTAACTATTTTATGTTCAATTTTATATTTTATTTGTATGGTTAATATTTTTAGTAAATTTGAGAATTTAGTATCTAAAAATAAAAAATTGTTTATAAGGTTTTATCTTTTATTTTAATTAATTGGTTGATTATAAAAATGAAACTATAATTTTTTTCATTTTGTCTGAGGAGGGGAAGATGTATGAGATTGAAAATCTAAAAGAGACGTTGAGTAAAAAAGGTTAGGAATCACTGATTTAGAAGAACAAGTTAACGACAGTTAAAACTTGTAAATATATATGAGTTGAATAAACGAAAAACAGTTTTCTAACATTGAGATGCAAAATATATTTTTTATCAGAGTAAAAACAAAACGAATTGGTATTTTTCAATAAATGTCATTGTAAGACATAATTTATTTTTAATTAATAGTTTCCTGAAAAAATATTTACTATTTTAAATAGTCGAGCAATGTTGTTTCAATAATTTCTAGCATTTTGAAATGGATTAATCTTCGTTGGATACTTAATATTTATGATATTATAATATTTGGTTGGATAAGTGTAAAACGCATAGACGAATAAAAGTAATAAAAGCAATGAGTAATATTGAATATTTTTACTGTTCTAGTTTAGTCCTGTTAAAAAAAAAAAAAACTTTCTAGAAATTTGCATTCAATAATGGAATACAAAATAAACATTTGCGCTTTGAAGTTAAAATCCATTAGCATGAACGCAAACAATTCAAAAGTAAATATATGATTACAGTCGTTCAAACAAAAATAAAGAAAATATACATTTATTTAGGTAATGGATTCAAAATAAAAATTTAATACTTTACCACATGTGATTTTTATTATTGTTGTTGTTGTTGTTGTTTGGTTTTGTATTTCATGGTCATAAAAATACTTAAAATGTATACTTAGTGTTTAAAGGATAAATATCCAAAATGTTTGGTGTGAGTTAAAGAGTCATACAGTAAAATGTCTAATATTGATAATTCAAGCATTTAAAGCTCTTTTGTCGGATAAATCGGATAAACTAATAAATTATCGAACTCCAAACAAGGCTGTATTGTAAAATTGTATTGTTCGAATTTATCAAACAAAAGATTAAAATGATATCTATATAAATAATATATAAGTCTACCTACATGGCTCTGTCGCCTAAGCAGTGTTGTGCATTATCTAAATGATTTATCTAGATAATAGTAATTTGAAGTATCTTTTTATCCATCTTTTTAAATAAAATGGTTATTTAAGATAAATTATCTAGATAATTTTGAAAGAGATAATTTTTTTTTTTTTGTGGTCAGTGAAACGAGGAATAATAAACACTTAGTATTACCGTATGTACGTTTTAAATTTTAAATATAGATATTCTATAAACGAAGAAAAGGTATTGAATAATTATTTACACAGAAAACATATAAAAATGAATGTATTACAAATAATACCATTCAATTTTATAACGATTAACTTTTTTTTTCTATATTATCGACGACTATGCGATACCCGCTGCCCACTGTTTACGCCCGGAATTTAATATACGTATACCTAATAGCTGATATTATACTCATATAATAATAATATAATAATAATAATAATAACACAATAATTGTGTTAACACATGGACATAAAACGTCAGTCTTTGACTGGAACGTTCCATAAATAACAATGTATAAACTAAGAATAAAATAATAAATAATAATAAAGCCAACCAGTTACCACTTAATAGTGACCACGGATAAATAGTATAGTATATATAGGTCTTAAATCGTGAAGAGAATAGCAATATGGTAACAGTAATCACTAATTAGTTATTGGTAAATACATACGCTTAAATAAAATAAATATACCGATTTATATGGAATAATTTTAAAATGTGATATACTTAATCAAACTTGAGTTTCACAAATATAATTAGAATACATACATATATATATATGCTTTAAAAATTATAAATTGTCCGTCAGAGACCAGTATTAATAAAATTAATTATACTATTTTTAGTATCCTACATTCATACTTTGCTACGTTAACTTTCTATCGACCATCATTGCTATTAGTTATTTTCGACTGTTCGACGTTAGTAACTAGTTGTCCTTATTTCTCAATTTAACATGGATAAATTATTTCTCGAGAAAAGAGACGGATTCATGAAGATGATTCTGACATTTCTGATACAATAGATATCCCCGGACTTGGACAACCTGAACCATCTAAAAAAATGATTTCTAAAACGGCTGGATGTACAATTACAACTAAAGAAAATACCATCATTGAAGAAACACAAAATTATCTGTTGGACGGAAAATTTTATAAAATTGTTTCAGTCAAAGAATCAAAAATGGTTGTTTTGTGTCAACACTGCAAAAAAAAAAAAATTGTCATTCATATATTTATATCATAATAGGTTTATTGGTATAACTTTTTACAAGATTCTTTATTCATCTACAGTATGTAATCCCACAAAATTAATTAAGATTATTTTAAACCATTTAAATCATAATTAATAGTTAATTTTTTTATTCATAGAAAAATAACCATTTTACAAATATAAGTTCTGAATGATGAAACTGTTTAAATTTATGTTTTTATCTAATTTTATCTGTTTTTTATCTAGATAAATGTAGTTATCTTTTATCTATTATCCAGATAAATGTTTAAATATTTATCTATTATCTTTATCTAGATGAAATTTTAATGTATTATCCGTTATCTTATCTAGATAATATTTTGATTATCTATGTACATTGCGCTTAAGGATGTTGAATATAATTGATGTCTCGTAGCTTACCTTAAATTTCTATTGCCTCCGCGTCCATAAAAGAATACATTTTTCGGTGAACGAATGGCTATCGTACTTGATGGAGAATGCACGGGCCTTCGAAAAATCCTGGAGCACATACTTCCAGTTTCGGGCCATGAGGTTCCGTCTTGGTACAGGTCGACGAATTCATACAAAGCTTTGAACGATACCGGTCTGGTAAAAATATACGTTTGTGTAAAAAAGACCTTTAAGCTTACTTCACTATTCCCTTCTATCTAAACTCAAAACTTTTGTTTTTCATCATTTACATAGTAGAATGATCCATTTCAGTATTTACAATTTATTTTTTAAATATTTTCATAACACAGCCATTTAAATTTATCACTCTGTACTAGTAATGAGTACTATCTAAAAGTTTACAATATCGAATAGTATTTGTTAATTTATTCAAACTATGGAATATCTATTCAAATATTTTTAATATAACCGATTAGTAGTTTTTCAATAAAAATTATCGCATAGTATGATAAACTATCGAATAGTTCGGTGAAATATTCGAATAAAACTATTGAATAGTTTTATTTTTATGGAATATTCAAATACAGTATTTAAAATACCCCAATTCTTAAGGGCAACCTGGCTGCGGCAGTCGATCCTACATATGATTGCTTATTGAAGTCCACATACTAGGCAGCCAGCGATTCCAGGTTGTGACCCCCAGTAGAATTTGCACAATTGTACGGCAGCCAACAGGTTGGGCGTGGCCAAAATAAAAAACGACAATATATGCGACTGTCGCGATACATTAGTCGAAGCAACCAGACGTATTTTGCGTTTTTCATGCCTCTCTCCATACCTTTACTACGTTGTTTCTCGAAGAATCAATGCATTGACATTCTAGTATAGTTTAAAAAACGTTGTGGTTATCTCCGAATATCCTTAAAATAATTTAGAAACAAGGCCTTTCAGTGCCATTCTGAAAATAGAAGATGAATTTAATAAATTTTTGTTTTGCGTTTCTTACGAGACACAAGGTAAACAGTGACAGCCTTTTCCATGTCCATTTCGAACGATTGTACGCTATGAATGTATTTCTATGACGGATGATTAATGAATCGGCGACTGCCGTGAGTGGCTGACTGTTTATACAAATTAGCTGCTCAATGTTTTATTGGTCTAGTATGTCATTGTCCTTAGAATTACGAAGATACCACACCCGCGTGCATTGTATCCATATTATAAACATACAATATACTAAAAACCGTTTGATACGGATAAGGACCACTTGGGCTGTAGTCCAAGTCAAATTAAATAACCAAATGTATTTAAGTCTGATTCCTTCCATGGATAGATAAAAAATATATATGTAATCTACTAATAATATAATAATTAGAGCGCAGATTTATATGTATTAAAAACTAACCAAATATACGCTAAAAAAACCCTAAATATGCATAATTTTCCGAAACCAGTGCTTTACATAAATCTGCAAAAAATGTATCTTTATTTAGTGTTTGTAGTATTAGTGAATAAACTTTGAAAATTGCGTTGCTTATTCTGTTGTAAATTCACAGATTTTAAATGTTTTTCAGTTTTAATATGTTGTATAATTGAATACCGTTTATCGTGGGAAATTTTTATTTCACATAATTTGCATAGTATGATTTGACCATCGGTTGGAAAAATATTCTCTCCGAATTCACGCACATAATTACGAGGACAACCCGGTAACGAAGATTTATCTTTCGGCATTTTGAAAAAAATAAAATAATAAAAACGCGAATCACGACACGAGCACTGCTGTAAATTTTTTTAATGCGACTGAAATAGTGAAATAGTGATGGGTCGTTACCGCTGTTTTCGGTACAATGTAACAATTACATAGATGGAATGAGCAGGAAAGGAACGAGTACATTAATCGTTCCACAGTCGGTACATTCAGTAAAAATTTTCAAACTATAAAATGGTCCCCGTCAGACAATACTGATACCGACACCGTGTAGTACTAAATGAAATAATGATAATAATCAATCATGATCGTAATCGATATTTTCTTATCTTAGAATACGTAATTTATTTCCTCAATTATTGATCTAAGGTTATATTTGGGAAAATCGTTTATACCTACACGTATACCTATTAATTTATTTTGATACTAAACGAAACTATAAAAATAAAATATTTATTTCTTATATTATAATATTATATATTTCAAAAAATGTCTAAAAAAACAAAAAACATCCAAATATGCTATTAAAATTGTAAACTAAGCCCTTGAAATAGAAAAATACCAAAATATCCAATAATATGCGCTAAAAAAGTTTCATTTTTTAATTTGTTGTTATGAAACAAATGTTGTGCTCACTTAGCATATCATATGATCAACCAGAATAAATATACAAATGCATACAAATCCGCGCTTTAATAATAATAAAAAAAAAATCTAAAATATTATATCGAGTATGATATAACAAATTAACAAGTTACAACGTTCTAGTTTAACAACTATAGTTCAATAGTTTAAAAAAAACTATTTAACTTTTAATTACTAAAAACTATTCAAACATTATTTGTACCATTCGAATGAAAACTATTTGATAAACTATTTGAAGTTTTAAAACCATCGGATATATCGTGGCATCCTCAAATGTTCTAACTATTCGAATAGTGAACTATTATCGAATAGTTTGATAGTGCCCATCACTTCACTGTCCGTATGTTATATACGAGTATATGTATTTATGATACATGAGAAAGTACCGACCTGAGAGCCGTAGCATGTTGTATGTTTAATTGAACCGTGAGTGATCGGGACGTAGATAGGAAGCTCTCAGACAGGGTGCACGGACGTTGTTGCCGGGACAACAGAAAATGATCGCAAGACCTCGGCGTTTGACCGGGGCAGTAATTTGCCAACATAGAAGCGTTGTTGAGCTGGTACCCAGACGATGAGGCATTTCTCAAATCGCTGAAAAATTAGGAGATAAATGCAAACGGCGTACATGATGATTGGATAATCGTCGTAATGCTGCAGTGGCCTTGCTCTTTCACAACCTCAAACATTTGTTTACTATCTAATATGTTTTTCATATTTTTTTAACTGCTATTATTTAAAATAAAAAATTGAAAATTATTTTGGTATCCCAGTTTGTTATTATAACTTAGTAGTTTTTATTTTATTTTTATCGTAATGATAAGATTATTACTAGTTGAGTAGTACAGAAATAAAAATATAATAAAATATCTGTATTTATTTAGAATCCATTAATACGAGAATAGATATTTAAAATCATTACATTATAGTGTTAACATAATTACTTCTATTTTCTTAATTAAACTTTGACTATTTGTGGGTTAATAAACTTTTTATTATATTTTATATTATTTATTGTAATGAGTAGGGCTCAGAAGTTGTCGCAGTTGCATATTGTTATATACCATAATCTCTCAATTTATAATAGATCATGCTAGAAATATGAAGATTAATTTAAAAATCGAAGATTAAAAATGCATGTTTTTCATAATTCATCAATTTTAGGAAAAATGTGCATATTTTGTAAATTTTCATATGCATATTATGTCGCTATTGTCGTCGTGGGTGAAAATTTAGAAAACCGAACTCATCAAGAAGGTTTTCCTAAACATTGCTCAAAATTATAAAGATCATGTATGGTTGAGCGAAAGAGTTATTTTCGCTGAAAAAAACGCTGATGTCAACGAATTTAATTTTTAGATTCAAAATAAGATATCTGGCGAATTAATGACATCCAAATCGATTGATTCCGTTTCTAACCAAGATGATGTTGTCAAATATCCAACGGAATTTTTGAATTCGCTAGAATTACCTGGATTATCACCTGATAACCTGCAATCAAAAATCGGATCAGTAATCATTATGTTGCGAAATATAAACCAGCCACGTCTTTGTAATAGCACCCGACTTGCGGTGAAGAAATTAATGAAAAACGTCATCGAAGCCACAATTTTTAAAGGGAAGTATAAAGGCGAAAACGTTTTGATTTCATGGATTCCTTTGATTTGGAATGACATGCCATTCGAATTTAATCGGTTACAATTTCCAGTGCGGCTAGCATTTATAATGTCGATAAGTAAATCTCATAGATAGTCGGAAAGTGAATGTGGCATAAATCTTGAAAATCCATGTTTTTCATATGGCCAGTTATATGTTGCCTTTTCCCATGTCGTAATACCAATAAAACTATTTATACACGCGCAAGAGAAAAAAATAAGTATATTATATATAATAAAGCATTAGAATAATAAACACTTTTTTTGAAATATTTTTTTTATTAATTATACCAATTCGAATTCAATAATTTATAATTAAGACAGGACAATGTTTGTCGGGTCAGCTAGTTTAATATAAAAAATACCGCAAAAATATTTTTTAATTATATTTTTAGTTCAATAAGATGTCAAAATGCCAACTAGCTGTACATTTTTTTTCAGTTATAAATAGCTTTTTTGTATATTAATAATTTATTAACAACATCATCAGATGTTTGTTTCTTGGAATTAAGAATAACTTTTTTGTATATTTAACTTTTTTAATGTGTATTTTACAATTTTTTTAATTCATATTTTTCTTTTTTTAGCTCCTACAATTTCCAAGCGTTAGTTATAAGAAGTGTACATTTATTACTAGTATTTAAGCAGCCTCAACACTTTAAGTAAATTAGGCTCTCCAGGATCTGGCAATAAGTAATATTTATACTCGTATATAGATTTCAATGCATCCGGTCCTACGTACTACGAGTTTTAAATGAATATTTCGAATAAAAAAATCAAACATACCAAAAATTATAACCTGACTTAGCTTCTAAAAATAGAAAATAATTTTTACCAGAAAGGATGGCAAGAAGAATTTCCATCCCACACCATTAGGTTAGTGGTGCAATCTCGAGGCTGAGCGCCGGTCACGTAAAACTTGAGTACAGATATCCATATCTTGTACCTAGGACCACCATCCGCAACCGATTCCCGGTTAACTGGATATCCAGCGGCTGTAAGACCGGTAGGAGTAGCTTGTAGATGGTACCAACATGTCGTGTTTTCAGGCAAAGAGTGATAGGGTGCGTGTAACCACCCGCGGCCCGTGTTTCGTATCCAAAATTCGCAACGTTTGTTCTTCGTGTACTTAATTGATTCGATCTCTACAAAGTGCACCTGAAACACACAAACGTTTCACATACAATATTTAGATTCGACGATACAGCTTAATAAGTTTAACACCAAGTCGTAATCAAATTAGTTTATTTAATTTAATTATTTACACAGTAACACATATAGTACACAGAAATTATTTAAAAAGTAGATTTTAATCCATAAAGATTTTCTAAGTAAAAGAATATTTTAAAAATTTTAAATATCTTTTGAAGTAAAGTTATAAACATTTTAAATCAGAGTTAGTACAGTGTTAATACAGTAATTTTATTTAATTTCAGATTTTATAGCCCATCAAATTATCCTTCGCTAATAAATGTTACAATGTAGCCAAAATCTGTTTAAAGATATAACTATGAAGATTAGTGAGCGCAACATTCGAGCCCAAATATTCATGTTCTTCAATCTAGCAATGAATGAGCTTAATTTTATTTTCAACAGTCTATAATTTTTAGCCTTTTGAGAAAAATTTAAGTCCGTACAATTTACTAGACGCATATACTTTGATCCTTCAAATATTTATTTCTATGATGATATTATCCACTTTATTCTAATCACTCACTTAGGGGTAAAACTTGATATCAAAATATGTTGGCACCACATATTATCTCGTTTTTCCCTTTTTATTCTCGATTGATTTATTTTTTTAGAACAGTTACTCACACATGGTCTGTAAAACCCATGCCGCGGGATCTCGGGGAGCCCCACTTTCCTTAACTGGACGGTGCCCGAGAACGGGGTCGCGCCGTCGGGACTTGATCCCGGTGTCGCGCACCTTTGAGGTCGGACTCGTGGTGGTTGTGGGTCCGCTGGAGAAAAATAGGAGCTTGAAATCAGTCGATCGTAGCCGCACCCAGTCACACGTCGGAGCTATGCGCAGACCACTGTCTGATGACTCCGCGTGACGACAACAGAACGGGTGGAGCGTTTGCCCTTCGGGGACGTAAAATCTTTCAAGAGACGAGAACTCATCTCCACTACAAATCTATAATATGCTCTAAAATTCAATATAGTTGGTTTCTTTTTGGTTCAGCATAATTTTCCAACTGAAGAAAAATGATCAATTATCAAGATACTTGTCTATGAAGTATACCTATAGGTTATATAAAATTAATCCTTATTTTAGCCATTGCTATTGAAACTATGTGGCTTCCTTTAATAATAAATGACAATGGCTTACTGGTACATATATTTATGACATTCTAGCTTTACAATATTTGACAATTTTAAATTCGCATTTATTTTTTCTTGTTTCTCATACTAGAACCCCCCTTATCCGCTTCAATCAAATTTCAGTATTCAGTTTCTTTGAGTTCTTATAGTCACGTTGGAATTCACGGCAATGAGGTTGCTGATAATTTTGGTAAAATTGATTTAACCCTACAGTTGAAATAATATCATTTAAATTATTACTATTTATATTACTATCTCATTTTAAATTAGTAACAAACATTCTTTTGATTGATTAATTGTATTAAACAACAACTTTAACGAGTAAGTAAAATTATTTATCCTAGATTAAATTTAAAAACCATAACTATATCTACATTACGATTAAAATATAATTATTATAATTTAAAATTTATTTCTACTATATTTCGCATTTTATCTTCATATATTTCGCAGTTAATCTTTGTATTTTTAATATATATACTCTTCTCACCACCTCTTTTTAATCATTTCATTCACATTACTTACTGTACCATTTATTGTATAGATTGAAAATTTGCATAAATAAACATTTATATATATATATATAAAGTATCTAGAAGCAGTGACGAAATGGGGAAAAAAATTGGCCTGGGAAAATCATAATTTAAGAGGCCTTCTTTGTAATTAGGGCCAACACTTTTTAAACTTACGTTTTATTTTAGTAGAACATAATGAAATTAAATTGAAACTATTTAATATAATTTGATTATTTTTACATTGACACCAGCTGTAGTTAAAACTTAATTTCCAAAAACATTTTTAATTGAATGTGTATTATATTTATTGCTATAATTATTAATATATAATATTTATATTTTTATTAGAATAAAATGGTCATCCATCTAGTATTAAAAAATACGTATACTATTTAGAGAATATTAACTTTTAAAATATGATTTTTATACTAAAAAATAAATAGTTTTTTTTTTTATTTTTTTTTATTGAAATATTGTATGTTTACAATTAAATATTAAGTTATTATAACAAATGTTGAATCCTCAATTAAATCACGCCAATTCCAAAACCAATCAATTCTGCAAGTCTTTAATTGTACCACTGTTTTTTGAATGGGAAAGTATATCAACTTTAAAAAAAAAAAAAAATCAATGAATTCGAGAAGGATAGTAAACTAAATTATTTTGTATTTCTAAGAATAAAGGTTAACCGGCAAATCTCTTGGTATTCTGCTGGCTCAGTTTGTCATTACCTAGAAGTATTTCATTTTTATAGATGGGTTCAAGCGTTTTTAAATGTTGTGTAATTGTTCAATATTAGGAACTTTTCTGCTCTCAATACTTAGAGCACTCGTACATTTTTTCGGTTTCGATTAAATTTTAAAGAATGTATTTCCTATATGGTTATAGTTAATTGTTATATCAATTAAAAATAAAAATACCAAAATAAATTAATATTTGAATTCCACTTTTGATATTTCACAATTTGTAATGATTTGGAATGATGGATACGATACAAACACTGAACTGGAATAAATTGATACTGCTTGAAAAACGGTATAAACTGACAATTCTCTTACCTAATAAAATGTAGCAATAGAAAAAGCTTGATCCTTGAACTTTTAAATTAAATTTAAAACGAATATTTTATAGTAAAATTATTTTAATTTACATCATCAAACATACTGAAATCACAAAAATAAAATAAAAACACAAGTTGTTTTAGTAAAGAAACCTTCAAAAAAACTTTTTTAGTTATATTTTATTTGCATAATAAACTGTAATTAATTAAATCTGAATAAACATGAAAATGTAATGTGCTAACAAGAATAAGAGTGATCTTCAAAATGTATAATAATTTAATAAATATTAAATAATAATGAAAAAATAATTACGTGAACACGTAAAATACGGCCGCGGCGACTTGTCATAATATAATCCGGTTTTATGCAGTTATTAAAATATTGGGAGTCGTTATCATTATTATTGTACCCGGAGATCAGAGAAACACCTTGAGAAATAATTTACAAAAACTTCGTTGTGCAGTTACTAAGGCAATTGAATATAGAAAGAATATTGATGGAACACATAATGAAAAAATTACTTTATTAAAACATGATATTATGAATGGCCCATACCATGCTTTTGGAAATCATAAAAATTGTGCAACATACTTTTGTAAAAAAAAAATGGAAAAAAATAATAAAAATTATGTTTTAGAAATGGAAAAATCTGGACTTTGGACAGATATTTTATATGTGAGAAATGTATTAACTCACCATGCCTCAAGTTAAATTTATAATGTCAAAAATAATTCGGTCGAAGGTTACAATAGTATTGTTGCTAAATTTGTAGGTGGCAAAAGAATACATTTTTTTCATAAAGGGTTATATCAAGCGCGATGTACAGCTGCAGTGTTATCTTATAATACAGGACCAAAATGTATTAGCATTTCGCATTAAAAGATTTGCAATATTATTCCTGGTGATTTTACAAAGCGTTTTATAAGTGGAAAACAGAAGAAAAAAAATATGTAAAATGAAAAGAAAACTTTTATTTGAATCAATAAGTAGACGAGTTACTAAAAATAACTTACTAGATAGTGACTATGGAAAATGCGAATAAAATATGTGTGAAGAACTGGATATGGATGGAAATGATTACGAAAAAATAAAATTGGAATATATGAACAATAAAATAATTAAAAATATCGATGAAATTAAATTTACAGAAAAATCGACTACACTTCAATCGGAATGCGAATTATGGCACAAAGAAAGAAAAATTCGATTAACCGCATCGAATTTCGGAAAAATTTGTAAACTTCGACTATCGACTTCTAGAGCCAATACAGTTATATCAATTTGTATAAAACGTTTTGTGGTAATGAGCTACGAGATATCAGTGGCGTAGCCAGGATTTTTAAATGGGGGGGGGGTAACCACTTTTTTTGGATAAGTAAGGTAAGAGAGGATATGAGAATTCACTCTTAACCCCCCCCCACCATCTACCACCAAGTTTCTAAACGTAATTCAAGCGTTTTAGTATAGTTTTAAAAATATTTATCAAATAATAATTTATAATAATAATAATAATTTTGGTTTCAGTGTTCAGTCACTTGCTCCACTCTGACAACTGCATTCTCTTAGGCGACTTTTTGGCAAATTCAGTTATTATTTCACTTTCATCGAATTGCTCTTTTTTATTTATATTAGCCATAGCTAACCCATTCAGTCTGTTTTCCGACATGGTGCTTCTTAAAAAAATTTTTAAGCGATTAAGTGCTGAAAACGTTTTTTCCGGAGTGAAAGAGGTAACTGGTAACGTGGCAAATAATTGTAAAAGTATTTTAATGTTAGGTCGAAGATTGGTGCGATGAGAGAGTGAATCAAGAGCAGAATTCAGTTTTGGAATAGTATTTTGACTCCATTGTTGCCTCTATATGAACAGGTCAGCTCTGATTGTAGATGAGGTATCATCATGGAGATCTTGGACATATATTTTAGCAGCTTTTATAATATTTTTATCGTCATTAATATTTAAATTGGCCGGAATAAGTCCTTCAAGTGGCATAACATCAATATGCCTTTGATTAAAACGAGCATTGATTCTATTAAATAGTCAAGATACATTATACATATAAACACGGCCCATGGGGAGGCTATAGCCCCCTTAGCCCCCCCCCCCATTGGCTACACCACTGTGAGATATGGTATTGAGTGCGAACATTTTGCAAAGACAAAGTCTGAACAATTAACAGGATTTAAAATTCAAGAATCTGTACTTTTCATATACTACCATCTACCGTTCTTAGCAGCAAGTCCTGATGGACTTATAGATAATAATGGTATAATTGAAATAAAATGTCCCTCAACAATAAAAGAATTAACTCCAAAAGAAGCTATAGAATCTAGGAAATTAAAATTTGCAACTTTAGACAGTCAAGGAAATTTGCAATTAAAACAAAGTCACAACTACTATTTTCAAGTTATGGGCCAATTAAAAATAACTCAACGATTATTTTGTTGTTTTATAATATGGTCACCTAAAGGTAATACACAATATTTAAAACGTATTGTTAAATTTTTCTTTATATTTTGCTTATCTCTTTTACAGGTATACTTTATCAAAAAATTTTTAAAGATGAAAAATTTTTCAACACAAAAATGAAATCATCATTGGAAAAATTTTATTTTGAAGCGATGTTGCCAGAGTTAATTGACTCAAGAAAGGACAGAAACTTTAGTTTACGGGATTAATGGTAATATGGTATGGTAATAAGCAACTAGTATTTACGATCTAATATTAATATAATATGCAACTGAAGTATAAATTGTATAAATTATATAATTATATTATTTATTAAAATATATACTTGGATTTAAATATAATTTTAAAAATGTCAACGCAGTGTTCATATTAGGATTGCGATCATTTTCAACCAATATCTTTCATTATAGTTTTAAATATCCTTGTAACAAAATAATTTAATGAAACGTATTTTATTTTAACACATTTTCGTACAACGAATAATTGATTATAATACGGTAATATACATCAGAATTGTTCATATGACATACATTATCTCTATATATAAAACAGTAAGCTGATTGACTGCTATCAACCCACAGCTCAAACCATTGGACGGATCTGGCTGAAATTTGGCATGCAGATAGCTATTATGATGTAGACGTGCGCTAAGAAAGGATTTTTCGAAATTTTGAAGTTAAAGGGTTGAAATCGGTTTAATATTTTTTGACCAGGTCGATAACTGCGCTATTGAAAATGAATTGTATTAAATAAAACTATTAAAAAATTATTAAAAAACTATTAAAAACTATTTAAAAATTATTAATTTTATATTTGGTAGTAAATGACGGGTATTGCATAAATATTATTTAAAAAGATCCCGCAACAGGTGCCAAAACAAATAAGAATGTTAGTTCAAAAAATTATTATGCATATCGGTGATGATTAGACGCGATCAGGACTAAGTTATTTTACGATGCATAAGCTTTGTCAACAATTCATGGTTGAAATATATATAAAGATAGATAGCGAACGATTTCGATTCAATCAAAAAAAGCTGCGTGCAAAAGATTCTCAAAACAATTGTTAGATATTGGAGATGGGAAAGTTACTACAGATGAAACGGGATGTATAAAATTACCGAACGATTTCTGCACAATCATTTATTCGCAAGATGCTCTCATTGACCAGATATGTCCCAGTGTACACAGACAATACACAAATCATGAGTGGCTGGCAGAAAGAGCAATTTTAGTAGCAAAAAATGTGGAGGTCAACGAATTGAATCTCAAGATACAAAATTTGTTACCAGAAAACTTGGTGTCATACAAATCTAGATACAGTTTGCGTTGCTACTGAAGTTGTAAATTATCCAACAGAGTTTTTAAACTCATTGGATTTACTAGGCATGCCACCGCATAATTTACAATTGATAATTACAATTTACCGTCGATAAAATACCTCCTTCAGAGTCATTTAAAGTTGTAATACATGCAGATAAAAAACCACTAGAAGAACATAGAGGCAGGTATAATGCACCAACGGCAAATGAAGTTGCTTTAGTGTTAGTAGATCAGCAATTTGATCGAAGAGACATCATCCTCGAAAACCGAAGTAACTCACTTCACCGTATCAGTGAGATACATCGAGCATACGACGCACTGCAGTATCCTTTAATGTTTTGTTGGGGGGGATGATGGGTATGCAATCAATATACCACAACGCAATCCAAAAACCAAGTTACCGCTTAAAAAAACTGTCTCTGCATCAAGTTTTTACTCATATAGAATAATGGTCAGAGAAGGGGAAGACAACTATTTAGTTAATTATCGTTCTCTTTTCAGTCAATATTTGGTAGATGAATACGCCAAAATTGAAACTGAAAGACTAAATTACATCAAAAACAATCAAGCCAAATTGCGTGCAGATAGTTATATTCATTTAAAAGATACGATTGGACGACGAGACATAGAAGCTAATCAGTTAGGCCAAATGGTTATACTCCCGTCAACTTTTACTGGTGGGCCAAGGTACATGCACGAAAGAACACAAGATGCTATGACCTACGTTAGATAATACGGTCGTCCTGATCTTTTTATTACTTTTACATGTAATCCTCGCTGGGACGAGATAAAAGAGCTCTTACTTCCCGGTCAAAGATCATATGATCGACATGATATAATTGCAAGAGTGTTTCGGTTAAAAGTCAAAAAGACCATGAACTTATTGACAAAAGGTAAAATATTCGGAGAAGTGAGATGCTATATGTATTCAACAGAATACCAAACTGTAGAGAGGTTCAGGTAGTTGTAAGCTATAACTTATCGAATAGGTTATGATAATAATCATTATCTTAAAAACTAAATTAATATGTATAAAATATTATTTCAAAAATCTTAATTAATTTAAATTTCAATAGATTTAACAAAATTTAATCTTGGCAGGTTACATACATTTATATACTTAAGCCCGGCAACAACGGGTAATTCAGCTAGTATTATTATAAATTATAATCATTGATTACAGAATACATTTTTATAAAAATTACAAGTTAAAAATTGAGAATAAATTTTAGAAATAATTTATGCTAGGATCAATGTTATTATTATTATAATGCTTATTGTTTATTCAATTATATTATATATGCAATTCATATTATTTGTGACTACGATATTTGGTACGACGTGTCGACGTCGGGACGGTTTTTACTGAATCAATAAAATTAATGGCCGATAACGTTGATAAAGATTTCAGATTAGTCTCACACACACTAATGTGGATTTACTTTCCACACACTAACAAGTCAACTTACTGCGTCATGTTAAATTGCCTATGCTATTTTCCTTAAAATATGGTCGACTGGAGCCCCCTTAAAGGACCATGAAACAAAAAAAAAATGACTTTGATTCAATTAATAGGTAATTAATTAATATAACCATCGGTGGTATTAAAATTTGTGTATGTCGATTTGTTGAGGTGCTAGAGCCCAAGAGAGATAGGCGCGTGACGTCATAAGATCACACGGCGCGGCGGCGGCCTATACTTTTATACAAAAATCGCCGACACGGCCTAGGTTATTTATTTATATTTTTTGTTATATTTAACAAAAATTACAAATTAAGACAATAGTCATAAGAATGTGGGTTTTAATACAATTTGGTATACGTTTGGTCGTATTAAATTTAAATGTACATAATTAATGTTTATTTCCTATAAGTTAATATAATATTAGAATAGCTAATGAAATAATATTTTTTCGATATTTCACATAAATATATATATATTTATGAATAAATATGTATTATACTAAAAAATAAAAATTACAATTTAAACATTTTGAACAGAATTATAAAATTAAATTGAAAATCTTGAATATCTTTTAGAACGTATTTCTTCAATATTTGGTCTTGGTATTGGAGCTATAGACTTGGGAATTTCTATTTCTTCTGGAATTGTTATAATGCTATATTCGTTTGTTTTTTTTTAGCTAAATCAAGTACTTCATGCATAATTTGTTTTCGCCAATCAGTATCAGTACGCTCATATACATTTTTTATTGTATATTTTCCTAACGGTTTTGAGTATACCATTTTATCACCTACTAGTTGTTTATTTGTATTGTAATTATGGTCCAATATAGCCAAAATAGATCTTATGTACATACCTCTATATTTCAGATGTATCCGTTTTGGCATATATTTTAACCTTACATTATGATAAGATTCCAAACGGCCAGTATGCACAAAATGTTTTGCATGTGGTAAATCTTTTATAAAATCTTTTGCAGTTATAACTTTTTTTAATGCATAATATGATTCGTCATCGGATTTTAACCACAATTTATTATTTATTTCTTCGTTTGTTAATGGATCATGATCGCACGTTTTTATCGTAAATCTAATACATTTATTACATATACACCAATCGTTTACATTCATTTTTGAACGACCTTCTAATTGTACTCCTATATCTGGTTCATTTGTACCTGGCTGAATATCAGCCATATCAATATCGTTCACAGTGGGCTCAAAACTATATGGACGTATTGACATATTTAAATATTTGTAATACACTGTCAAAAACCAATAAAAATTGTTTTAATACATATTTTGCCTATGCTAGAACACTTCTTATTAAAAAATGTAACATAATATAGGTACTAAACTATTTCAACTTTTTATAAAATATTTAAGCATGTAATTAACAAATTATTATTATTAATAAATAAAATAAATTTGACTATAGCATTATAATATTATAATTTATAATACATTACTTTACCTCGTAAAATAAGATCCCAACGATAAAAATATAAAAATTGAAAACTACGTTCGTTTATAAAGACGTGTAAACGTAAAATGCGGTTGATCGTCGTTCATCGACATAGAATACGTTTTATTTTTAATAAAAATATAATTATCCAAATAGAGTATTTTTATTCGTCCGTTCATTGTTGTGACTACGAAGTTATTTATAGCAGAATTTAATATAACAAAATGTATAAATAATAACCTAGGCCGCGTCGGCGATTTCTGTATAAAAGTTTAGGCCGCCGCCGCGACGTGTGATCTTATGACGTCACGCGCCTATCTCTCTTGAGCTCTAGCGACTCAACGAATCGACGTATACAAATTTTAGTACCACCGTTAGTTATAGTAATTAACTATCTATTGAATAAGTAAAAATAATTTTTTTGTTTCATGGTCCTTTAACAGTTATATTAGTGCAGCAGTTATTACCCTTCAGTATCCTATAGTTTTACACATGTAGGTAATATATAGTATGCCCTTGATTACAATAACAATTGACATACGTCTATTATGTACCTAATAATATTTTAGTGTGATTTTGTTACATTATTTTAGTTGATTAACATTTTATTGTTTCATAGAAACATAATTATATGTTAGAATTATTAAAATTACAGTAGTATATTAAAACTTTTCAATCGTAGAATAAGTTAAAAGTGCTTTATTACACAAACCCGATTCCTAATTATCTCATTTTAATAAGTATATGTATAATAATACATGAGTATAGAGTATAATAATAAGTAATAAATATAATAAGTGTATATCGACAGTTTTTTTATTATGAAACTATTTTATCCTCTTTCAATGACTTTGAACTAATACTTAGTATTAGGATCGTATTTAGATGATAATCCCATTACGCTTCAAGTATGAGTTCATACTAAATTTTTTACCTGGCTTAAATCAATAAAGTTCTAATATTCTAAAAATTAACTCAGCAATATTTTACGGCTCATTTATTGTTGAAAACACAACTCTATGTATATGTTAGGTTATAACTATTATTCCAACAAAAATATTTCAGACTCTGTACAGCTTTAGCACACACATAATATTATGGTTGATTTCCTTAATTCGTTCAAATTGTTATTATCCACGCATGTTTATTTTAATGTGGGTGAAGCAGGCATATCGAATAAACCTTATTTTATTTTTTATGTTTGTTGTAGTCGTACGCACTTTTTTTGATGAAAAAAAAAACAAAAGTTATATGTTACCCAATCGAAGATTTTAAAAAAAAATAAACATTGATGATAATTTACATAGTATATGACTGGAAATAATTTACAGTTTTCCAGAAAATTGAGAAAGAACAGATATTAAAAAAATACGAGTATATATTTTATTTATTTCTTTGTTATTCTGAAAACGAAAAAACATAGAGATAATAAAACGAATTCGATGTAACTCATTAGAATAATATAGAACTTTAGAGTCTTTTCCTATAATTTATTTTGATATTTTGTATATGATCAAAGTTTTATAAATATTATATTTTTTTTATTGTTATTATTATAATAGAAAAAAAATATATAAATTATATATATTTTTTATATAATATTATGTATTTAATTTATTATTATTATATATATATATATATATATATATAAGTAAATAACGTGCCTTATTAAACTTTATAATTTTACTTATTCATTCTTATTTTGTAAATTTTAACTACAGTTAATTTTAAATGTTTATTATATACAATTAAATATTTACATTGCTCAGTAGCGTTATTTGTGGTACACGAGGTAACTTTATCTAAATTTATGGATTTTTATTTTTAGGCAGTTTTTAGTACTTTATAAAATATTGTTTCTTATACCAAATCAAAAATTAAAGTTATGTTACAAAAACATTAAATTCGGGCTAAAATATTCAAGAAATAATTTCTTAAATATTGTACTACTAGTGAAATACCATTATAAGATTTAAGTAAATAGGTAATCGTTATAATTAGTACAACTAATATCATATTATTACATCATAGTTATATTATTATGTAAGTACACAGTTGAAATATAATCACTGACTCTGTATTTTTTTAAAACTGTGAATAATGATAATTATAATAATAAATTATTTTAATAGTTATACTAATTAATATTTTTAAGAAATTTATTATTACAAATATTTTTATTAAAATATAGTTGAAATTGAAACTATGTGACCAAACTTACATGTAATTAATAACTAGAAAGTAAAATAGATCTACAATTTAAAAAAAAAATAGCGATTACATTTAAATCTCACATTTTCTTTTGATAAAAACATTTAAGGAAATTACGTTCGGTTCTATCGGAGTTTTACTTGTATTCATTATATTTACTATTCAATGGCGAACATAGCCTTAAAGATTTAAAATTATTATTTTTAAATATATTTCCACAATATGCCTATGTCTATTACAGACAAAATCTTATTTCGAAATGTCAGAAAAACATTTCATGTAGAAAATGTTATAGTTTGACCAATCGACTATAGAATCTTCTTTGATCTGAACACACAATATGTATATATGTTTATATATACAATATACTTCTACTTAAATTGAAACTTAATATAATATAAAATACTAAAGGGAATATGGATTTTCTAATAAAAAAACTTTGTTTTTACATGAATTTACTATTTTATTTTTGTAAATATTTAAAGAGAAATATTGAACTTTATCTAATTTTACCATATATATTCATTTTTTTTAAATTATTTTCAAATATATATCATACCTAAAAAGACATATTAAATAGTGTTCATTATAAAATCAAGTTTTTTAAACCAATTAAGATAAATGAAACTTGGAAAATTTATAATTTGTCAAATGCATACTACACAGAATATTTAAGAATGTAATTAAATTATTAAGGGCTTGATATAGAGATGCATTCAGTTATTGAATAAAATTAGACTAATCAATATTGGCAGTTTTATAGATATCAATTTAATTAAATTTAAATTTAAAATAAATAAATGTATTGTATATAAGTTATATCAATATCATAAAATATTGATCTTCATTAGAAAAAAAAATTAATTAAGTAATTATTGTGTTAGTAATATTATTTTTTTAAATTAATTACTGTTAAATTTTACAATACTTAATTTTAACATTTGTTGTTTATTAAGTACTTTAACATGCATCCATAATCATACATATTATATAAATTATAATCAAATTTTGATTCCATTAAAATTTATAGTCAGTAGTCATAAACTGTATTTTTTAACAACAATACATTTTACTGTTAATAAATCTTCTATGGCTTTTTTCTTGAACCTTTTATTTTTTACATAACTGAATATTTTTTGTTTAAATCATAGTTTTAATATTCAATTTTACATACCAATATACTCACAAAGTAAACATATATTAATAATGTTTAAAACTAAATAATATTTTATAAAAAATAATGATTTTATATTGTTCGAAATGAAGTACGATAATAAAATATTGATACCTATAGTAATAATTTCTCTTTGATTTTAATATTCTCTCAACATTTTTGTTTCAAAGACATTTAGTTCAAATTTTGAATAAAAAAAAATAGGTCAAAACAAAAGAAAATGGTTGAGTGTTTACAGTGATTTGTGTTTATTATAAATTAAAAAATAGATTAAGAGTTTAAAATACTTAAAATATTAAGCCAAAACTTACATAATTGTTGAATTAATTATTTTTTTTAGCAAGAAAATATTTTCTTGCTATTAATTACTAACGATAAAACAAATGTTTTTTAAGAAACTGTTTATCTTTTGTAATATACCTCAGCTTATTAAAATATAACTTAATTCTTAGTAAATTTAGCTGATAACTTATAAAATATAAATATAGAGTATACGATATTGATTATTTATACAAATTTTTTATACAAATTTAATAATTTCTGTCATATATATTATCTGCTAAATAAGTGTTAATAACGTTAACCTAATCAGTTAACCATCAATAAATATCTATTTTGAAAATGAGTATAACTCTTTTCTGTGTAATCACGCATGTAAACTAAACAGTGTACAACATTTTTTTATAATTAAAATTTAATACATACGAGTATATACGAATATATAGTTATGGGAACAGCAATACCTAAAATTAGATGCATTGCTTACTTCGATGATGGTATATAACTGTTTCAAATTTGAACACCATATAATTGTAAGATTAAAAATATTAACTTCTGGATTATATTATGCTAAAAATGATCCTCACATTAAAATTTGCAAATACATGTACCTTATATCAATGAAACATATAATATAGAATTCAAATTTATCTACAAATGCAATTAATGACTTCAATAAAATTTTTTTCCTACACATTAGTAGTATACTTTGAAAGTATTTATTATTCAATTCAATATAATCCGTAAGTTAAGAACTACTATAATAGAAAATTATTAATAATATTATTACTTGCACTTGAAGTTGAAATCCATGAAGTGGGCCAAAAGGATACATCAAAGTACCGTATGGTGATGTGGAAAACTGAACTAACAGTTCAGGTCCACTAGACGTTGTTACGGGTACAGTCTCACCAGATCCGCAGAATCTCAATAGAATTGGGTCTCTAGTTGTGTATCCATCATATACTGTCACAAAGTCTGGTACATTGTCGCATTTGCTCCAATCCTATTAAAAAAATTCTAAGTGATATTTAAAATGTCTATATGAGTAATAAGTTATGAAAACTCCTAAGTAATTAAAATACGATTACGTCATTTTATTTAATATAGTTTGTGAATTTAAGTACATAATATAATACATGAATTTATTATTGTAATTCGATGAGTTAATGTCCAAATTTAAACTTAAATTTTTCAATCGTTCAAGCATTATCATTATCATTAACAATTGTTCAGTATTATTTTTTCTGAAAAATTTATTAGTAAAATGTTTTTTTGGAGTAATAACAACGGTATGCCAGAATAGTATTGTAAAGAAAATAATTTTATACCTTAATTATTTCAAAATATATTTATTGAAAGTATCATTAGATAAAAATTTTAATCAGTACTGGTTGAAACGAATATTTTGTAAATTTATATATACAAATATGTATAAATCATAAAATTAAAATATAATTTCAGTCAAAAGATGATTTTTAAATTAAATATATATATATATATATATATATATATGTGTGTTACGGCTAGTGTTATATGGCTAATCTCAAGCAGAGGCGGGTTTTATCATTAACCAATGGAGGGGCTAATGGAGGTTTAAGAATTTATTTAGTTGGTTTTTTAAATATATATAAAATTTTGAATTACAGAATATGTTTTTGAGTCCCTCATAAGTAAATCATTTTTTTCACAATAATGACAAAGTTTAAGTAGTTACATTATTGGTATCAATTTTAATCTGAAACCATTTTAAAATATAGGTAAATACACATAAATAATAAAAAAAGTGAACTATTTATTTATAAAAAAAATATGTAAAATAGGTACCATATTCATCAATGATCATTGACGATATTTTATTATAAATATTAATGTATAATAATACTTTGCTTTGTAAAATAGATAGCTTAGTCCCAAGGTCCCCCCCCAGGTAATGCCCCCTTAGCCACCCCCTTAAATCCGCCGTGATCTCAAGTATGGCCGACTAATCACAAGTTTAGTCACTGCGTTTGGCTAATATCTAAATTTCGGACTTTATCCATAACATTATCCATACAAATAATTAAACGGTTTAAGTCATACAAAAATTCTTTAATTTCTTCTCTTATTCAATAATATTTAATAATATCAATCTTATTTAATAATATCATAGATTATGGAATAATTCTAATAATAATAGAGTGCAATTATTATTAAGAATTATTTAGTCAATGATAATATTTACCTATTTTTATTATATAGATTTACGGCCACTTTTCATGACAGTGGTAATGTAATTCATGGATGGCATGACTATTTTTACTCAATAGTCTGAAGACGGTTGAATACTTTTCCCGAGAACGGTGGGACCCCTATCAATAGTTAATACCGAGATATATATTATGGTCTCATCTAAAAATTCTTCGAAATTTTTATTTTTATATTTTTTTAAATTCCATGAACTTATTATCGAACGCGATATTTTACAAAAATATTTTTCTGATCTTGAAAAGTCAAAATTAACTTAATTGGGATAAACGAAAAAAATAATACTTTAATTTCAAGTTAATTTGTATGGAAATAAGTTAAGTTAATTTATTAGTAATGAAATAATTTAAGGTAATAAGTTAATTTAACTTAACTTTTAACTTATTAACTCCCCCGGCTTGAAAACAAGATATACCTACAAAGTACTACAAGCTGGTATCTTTATTTATTTATTTATTTATTTATTTAATTGATTTAACGGGCTTGAGCCCTTTGAATATAAGGTAAAATACAATTGACAAATTACATGAACGGAAACTTAAATATTTTGATTACAATAAACAAAAAGAAAAAAATAAGAACTATACAAAATACAAACACAGAAATTACATAAATGGAAAATACTGATAACTATTAAACATCATTAATACATCTTAATAATAATAATACATTGCACTTAAATTTATTACGACTAGAATCAAAAAAATCAATTGATGGGGATATTTTATTAGCTAGTGACAGAGCGCGAGGAAAAAACGAATCGGCACCATAACTTTTGCGATAATAGGGAATGACAAATAAATCATTGGTTCTGGAGAAGAAAGTGGGAACCTTGATACTTAATAAAGCCAGTAGATGTGGACAATCAATAAAACCATTTAATAGATCATATATAAATAATATATCAGAGAATTGTCTTCTTAGATCGATCGAATCCAGACCTACTGATAACTGAACGGGTTAATATATATATTACTAGAGATAGGCATATTAGAGACGTAAGCTATTCTTTTTAAAAATTTATATTGGACAATTTCAAGATCATTCAAGTATGTAGACAGGTTTTGAGACCAAATTATGGATCCAAACTCTAGTGAAGATCGTACGAGCGAGCAATATAAAGTTTTTAAGTTTGAAGGCTGTTTAAAATGTTGTGTATTCCTATTAATAAAGCCTAGCATTCTATAGGATTTATTTAAAATTTTTTTATGATTGAACTTAAAAGAGAAATCTGATTCAAAATATATTCCTAAGTCTTTAATTACAGTTACTCTGACTAATTGTTCATTATTAAGTTTGTAATTGAATATAATTGGGTTTTTAGAATTATATTTGTCTAAAAAGTGTATATTGAAATTCTGATTCGATTCAAATTCGATTCATAGTATGTATATTTCAGATATAAAAATTGTTGTTGCATAATTTGCATATTTTGTTACTTTTTGTACCAATTCGCATATTTTGAGTTTATGAACATTTATATGCATATTTCATGGTTCAACAAAATTTTTAAAAAAAAATGTATAGTTTAATAATATAATATAAGATATATGAAAACCAAAATTCTAAGTTTTATATCGTTTAACAAAATAAATTAATTCATCAAGGGCTATTATTTCTATTGCTCCGGCTCCCAATGCATTTAACAATAATATTATAATCTTTATAGTACCGAGAAATCGTAATAGTGATCACCGCCGGCCCGTATTTATTTTTATACAAATTTACCACTATATAAATATTTTGTTACATGACATAAACAAATTGTATAACCATAGATAATTCATATACAATTATCCAACCTAATGTATTAGCTTATAAACAATATTATTTCTGTTCGTAATAACACTGTATACCTACCTACATCTGCATACAGACGACTTCATTGTACAGTGTACACTAGTCAGTAGTCAATTTATTATTTTATAAGCAATTATTTTCCAATTTTTTACTGCATATTATACTTCATATTTTGATGTTTTTTAACGCATATGTATGCGCATATTTTAGTATTTTTAAGCGCATAAAGTTCCGAGCCTTGGTAATTATAGTAGATTATTACAAACTGTTTATATCGAGAACATAATATTGTATGCAACCGCATGCATATCAATTTTATAATAAATATCAATTTAAAATTATATAAAAATGCACACAAATGTGTACAATATTTATATTATTGAAAATATTTTACCTACTACATGTACGGCTCACCTCTATACAACTACCCAACATATCAATATTCATTAAAAATTACAATTTCAAAATATTGTATTATTATTGTAAATAGTTTTAAATTTTTAATTTACCTATGGCTAATGTTATTTAGTCCTTAGCCGTTAACGGTTGGATAATTTTGGTTTTATTGGCTAGTGTTAAGATTAACCATTGGTTTTTGTTGGCTGAAGTTCAAAATTTTGACATTAACCAAAAGCATTGTCTATACTTAAGATTAACCGGCTAATCTTAATATTAGCTAACCTTCGCACACTAACCGTAACATATATATATATATAAAGAAAATAATATTTAACAAATTTGATGTTTATAAAACCATACAATACAATTAGTGATAAATGATTATTAATTATTGAACACTTGATACGTATACAAGATAAATTGATTCCCTTACACTCACGGTCAAGTTATAATAGTATGATATAATTTTATTCTGCATAAATACGAGTATAAACGTGGGTATTGTGTTTTGTATAAGGTAACATTATATCATGTAAATACCTTTCGTTCGACAGGCTTTGGATCGGCGCCTTCGGGATTGGTCCGATCCGTCTTGATCGACACCAGTCGGCTGTACGGCTGCGTGATGGATATGAGTGCTTGGTGACCGTACGGTATGCTATGCTGTCGGATCGCGTAATAGCACGTCAAGTTTCGCGGGTACAGCCCAGGATAGTTGGGTGACTGCAGGACACACCTCTTCTTATCGCAGTTGCTGAATATTCGCGAACAATAGGTGCCCTCCATCAGGTCACCCATGTGAAACGATTCGTTGACTCCTGGATGACACCAATCGTAACATTATTGCAAACAATTAACGAATTAAAAACTATAAACATTAGCAATATATGTTTATAAGTTATTATTGTAATCCAAGCACTCAAATATCTTATTTTTACCGGAAAAATCTTATTTTTTCAAATGCTATTGAAAATTAAATATTTTTAAATAATTAAAAACTCATTCGATTAATATTTACATGTTTATTCATATATTCATATAAATATTATATTTAAGAGTATAATTATTAACCATTAAGTAATGGGTTAGGTATGGTATTGGTATAGGTATGGTATAGGTATTTATGGTAAATTTTTTTTCGAAAAATAGAAAAACTACCAAAAAATGAGTGTTTAAGCTAGAAAAAATTACCCGGAATAATTCATGTTCATAAATACGAGTATAGAGTACTCGCATACGAATTTTATCATTTTAGATTCTAAGCGGAAAAAATAATATGTACAAAACGCATCATGCGATATTTAAAAACCTTGTGAGAAAATATTTATGTTTATAATTTCTAAGTACTCATAGTTTAAAGAAAAAAATTAGAAAAATTGTGGAACTTATCACTATTTTATTTTTGATAATGTCGATATTCAGTACAAACTGATATTCGATATCTACGAGTACCATTATTGGTAAAACCAGCATATCAAATATCAAGGGTGGGTGTTAAACTAATATTGAACTCCATATTTTCTGAGAACATAAATCGTAAAATAGATGTACAGAATCAGTCAGTGACGTGGTGATGTGGATAATCGAGAGACGGCTGCCTCTCAGTTTTTTGGTGGGTGGGTCAGGGTATAGGCGGATATGGGAGGGGGGGTTAGCCCACAAAATATTTTAACAGTCCCCCCAAAATCAAAACTTTGTTAGAATTGTTATTCATTGTTTTTATAACTATCTATTCGTTTTTTTGAAAATCGTAAAATAAGAAATAATAAAAAACTATTTACAATAGCATTAACAATACCAATATGTTCGGCTACTTGCGAAAGAAGTTTCAGTGCAATGACAAAAATAATAACTTGACTAAGGACATCGTTAGTTTAAAATAGGTTCAGCGATCTTTCAATACTATATATTGAAAAAGATATATCGAAAAATATAAAAATCGATGATATTTTAAATATCTTTGCTGATACAAATGGATATTTGCCATTAAAATAAAATATTAATTATTTTTAAATATATGTTATTTAGTGTTTTTTTTAATACAATTTAAACATATCTACATTTTTAATAGAAATAAGTTTTACTTGTGCATGGGAAGGGGGTGTGGGGGCGAATCCCCTGCGGGTTATTTTACAATGAATTATTATAGCCCCCCAAAAATTCAACCAAATGTCCGCCTATGGGTCAGAGGCGAATTAAGAGTCTTACAGTGATATCATGACTGAATATCCAATTAATTTATTTTAACTGCATAACCTAAGAATGATTATTGAATAAGATTTTCTGAAGATAAGTTAAATTTATGTAAATATAATAATGAGTAATTGAATAATCCGGATAGTTCGGATAATCCATGAAATCCGAATTTCTTAAATCCGGATTTGACAAATCCGAATAATTCGGCTTTCTTAAATTCAGATATGTCCATCACTAATTAAGAATTACTTCTAGGGGGGGGGGACTTAAATTTTATCTTTAATTCAGACTCAAAATTTACAAGTAAAATTGTAAGTAGGTAATATTTAAATCAGATGAATCCTTAATATGTGTGGTTTTTTTTTATACTAAGGCCAGATCCACCTAGAATCGACTTTTGTGTAGTTCTTTTTTAACACCTGTTTGTGTTTTGAAAGTTACGCTTGTGTTTTATTTGATTTTTCACTAGGTATGGATCCCACAAAAAACCCAATTCAGTATTCATAGCCATGCGTTATTTGATTTCATTATAAAATGATCCACATTAAAAAAATTTGTAATATATATCTTACATATAATCGATTCCTTAAATACGGAATTCAGGGGGGGGGAGATTGCTCCTTTTTCCACCTCCCCTTAAATATGCCACTGGAATGGATAGGTATCGACAACATATACTTGCCTCTGAACATTTTCGAGTTCACCACGCCACTAAAATCGGTTATATATATATATTAGGGTGGTCCATAGCTATAGAGGTCAAATTTTTTTTTTCTTGTAATTTGCTGTGATGACCACTCAGGGCCGTAGCAAGGAGATGGCGAGAGATGCCTACGCCTCGGGCACAATTCCTGGGAGAGCGCAAAAATGAAAATCTTGCATTCAATGTTAAAAATTAAAACGTTTAATGTCGTATATTTTATTTAACATACTTTATATTGATTAAAGCAATCATTGAAAATAATATCTAATAAGCGTAATATTTTTAAATTAAAAATACATAATGGCACATTTTGAAGTTTAGGTTGTCTACCCATTTCTTACACTAAACTATAAAATAACCATAAACCTAAATAATAAATCAAATCTACATTTTAATTTAAGTTCTATAAAAATAAATATATACACAGAAATATTGAAATAATTATTATTTAAGTGGTCTTGAATAAATTGTAAGTTAAATATTAAAAAAAAATGTAAAACGTGATTATTACATAATATGAATAGTATGTTCTTAAAAATAATTCAATACATTTAAAATAATATATAAATAGTTCAGTTAAATGTTTAAAAACCAAACTTCAACATTCTTAACATTTCTAAAACTATTCCATGTAAATCGGTGTATTTATTTTATTTAACCGTACGTATTTACCAATAACTAATAAAAGATTACTGTTAACTTGTTGCTATTCTCAGTTTCATTAATACGGTTTAAGATCTATATACACTAATACTATATATCCGTGGCCACTATACATGTATATTTAAAATTTAAAACGTACATACGGTAATACAAAGTGTTGATTACTCCTCGTTTCACTTCCCACAAAAAAAAAAAAAAATTATCTTTTTCAAAATTATCTAATTATCTAGATAATAAACTATGTTAATTCTCTTTTAACCATTTTATATAGTATTTTATATTACGTTTCAAATAAAAATCAATTAAAATCCTGTGTGTTAAATGTTACGACAGTTAGAATGTAAATTTTTGCATATGAAAAAGCACTAATAATAAACTTAAAAGTCTTACTTTTAATAAAAATTATAATACTCAAAATAACTTAGGTATGTCGATAACGATGACATAAGATCGATTTATTTGTTTTCGTGAAGGTGTTATTATGGTGACGGTACATAATTGTTATTTTAAGAGATAACGGAAATTTTTTAAGAAATCGGAAGAATCTTTTAAGACTATTATTTCAATATAGATATTTTACTGTTTTTGTATATTATTATAGGCATTGAAAATGGTCGCAGAGCATTCAATCTTCCACGAAATTCTTGAAAAATTCCATAACCTGCTTCCTTACTTATAGGATCGTCCGCTGTTGAATTACTTTCATCCCAAAAGATAATTTCATAAGCCATTCAAAGTTCACGTTACACTCGTAAGTGCTATATAATTAAGAAATCGAAATTATGAACACAAAGGTAAACGGTAATCGAAATTAAAACATGATTATCTAGGTATAATATTTTTATCACACCTGTACCAAAAGTTTGATTTTCGACCATGGTCAAAGCACAGGAATATCACATTTATCCGTCCAGCGGGCGGTAAAGTGGAAATCCCAAAAAGTGTGGGGGGGGGGGGGGAAAATGGAAATCCCTATAACACCGTGTAGTAAAGTGGAAATTTTCAAGAGCGCTGGCCGCGTACTCCTAGTACAACCAGAAACTTACATGTATAGGTACCATGGTCCGTACAAAACATAAACTTTCGATTAAATCTTATACACATATCACAACCTCCTTGCACGACACATAAACATTAAAACATGTTGTTTATTATTATTATTATGTTATTTATTTAAACATGTCGCCGTTCAAATTATCCCATCTCGTGTTAACCGGAGCACTCGATAACGGTGTCGGCGTATGATGTTCGAGAATTTTCGATCGGCGCGTTATCGCGGTACGATTATCCGTGGACGCCATTACTATCGGGAGTTTTTTCCGCTGACACTTTCTCTGCGAACGTCCGACTCGTCGGTTTTCCCGTGCCACCGGCCGTGTGTTTTTATGGTTGCGGCATAGCACGGTGGAGTCGCCATCTCCGGGGACAACTTCGTGTGTGTGACGACTGTTCGAACCGTAGCTGACCCGTGTCCGCGAAATTTTCTTTCGGCTATTGTAGTGCGCGTAGAAGCCAGTTATTGTAAATCGAGACCGACGCTGCTGATCAACCGATTCTTCTGCCGGTTGTGGCGTTCGTCGCACGTGTGAACACGGTCGCGTGAGCATAACCACTCGAACGCCAGACCGTCCAAGGTATCTTCTGTTATATTTGTTAAAAATATTATATTTATTTTTATACGATTTGTCTTGATATATTATTATAACGCGTTTGGAGCTTATGTGATTTTATTGTTATTTTTAGATTCATCATATTTATTATTACTTTTTTAGTTAATATTACTGTGGCGCTTTTGGCCCGTTTATCTCGGGATTTGTTATAATTTCATTAATTATCCTTGTTAAGTGTTCTTTTTTATTGCAAGCGACGCGAGTACGTCACACAATCGAACCAGTGGATGGTTTGACTGCGAAGCGCGCAAACAAGCATGAATACGAAAGATGACAATCAGTACAGTAGTTGTAGTGAACCATTAACTTCACCGTACATGATGAAAACGGCAAATGCTGTTTCACTAAATCTATTGCCTTAAGAATCAAAAGAAAGATACATAATGGCTTATGAAAAACTTTTAAAATTGAGAAAAATAAATAAAACCAAATCGCCGGAAAATGTGTTTCTTACAAATTTTAATAAATGATCTATAGAAATTAAACCGTCAACTCTATGGTCTATTTATTCAACATTGAAAAGCATGAAAAATATGAAACGTTGGTACTTATTTAAAATTACAAGTTTTTTTTAAAAAGAAAATCT